GTAAATGTAGTTTAGTATGAAAATCTTCATTTTCTCCACCACTACTTAGCATAAAATCATAACATACTAAACAATTACTGATAATTTAACTGCTGTCTGATGGGAAAAAATTATGCTGTTATGATAATAAAAAATGAGTAAGCCATATAGAAACATAGCTTCATAATATGGAAAGAATTGTTATCTTGGTAGATGATTTTAAGTAGTTAAATTATTAACCGCATTTTATAGGCGTCCATTTTAAGAAACCCTGTCAGTAGTAAGCAAGTAAAACTAGAAAAGAGGAAATTAATAAATTTTGCCTGCTAATGATTGTAATACGAATTTCGTATTTCTTTGAGGTTTCAGTGTTCATCAAAATACGCTGTTGTACTGTATGTAAATTTAATTAAAATCCTGCTATAAATTTTAATCCTACCCGCCTGTTTTGTTTGATAGATGGCGAGAGAATTGTAGCTGGCTTTTGTTTTTGTTTTAATTTCTTTTTGTTTGACAGATGAAATAATTTTTTGAAATGGAGCAGAAAACCTTTTCTTCTTAAAGGACCTGTGTTAAGTTACTGCAAAATTCAGACAGGTTTTCTATAAAATGAACGCCAATTAAAATCTGAGTTTTTTCAGATAAGTTGATGATTCCCTCCCCCTTTTTTTGAGTCAAGGCGGAATAGATGAATTAGTCGTCTGAATTAGATTACGTACTAAATGGACCAAATGCATGAAACATTTCGTAGTTTTCTAAATATTGCATATATTACTTCTCCTTCTCTTCAAATCAGGCAGGCTTCGCATACGTTGTCATAATCAAATATACCTCCAAAATGTTTTCAAAATCTAGCCCACGTGAGCGTAATGTAGCATGCTATAAATGCTCAAAATCTGAACAACTATTAATTTTATTAAGCATGTGAGAAGTGTGTTCTGCCTAATGCTTCGTAACTGAACTCATTCGAAATATGAATTAAAAAAATTCTTTTTAAAAACGCATGGATAACTTGACACGGCATCAAACAAATTTGCAAGCAAAAATTCTTTGATTCCTTATAAAGCCCTTAAAAGCTGAATAACCTTTTATTGTAATGTATCCTCTTCTCTCAAAAACAAAGGAAGAAGATCAAAGGGGAAAAGAGAGTAAAGAGAGTAATGCTTTTTAAATAGGCTGCATTCGTAACTCTATTTTTAAACTGCACTCTACAGCTATACTCCAGATAACTAATTATCATATCACGGAAGCTACTTTAATGTGTGAATGATCTAATTACTAAGAAAGATATTTTTACCGCATTTGTTTGAGTGTTATTTGCTAAATGCCACTTGAGCCATTTTCTGTATGCTTGGCTTCTATCACGAATGGGTCTTTTTCTCAACAGTATAAAAAAAAAAGCTGGCCAGGAACAACTTAATTTATAAAAAAAAGGATTGACTCAAAGGCTTCTTTGATAGTTGCAGTGCAATATAATCGCAATGCTGACGTTCATCAAAAATAGTTATTGCATATTTTGACATTTTATTAACAACACGTGCTCTTCTAGGTACAAAAACTTATTATTTTTAAATCTCTAATGCACATCAACTACCCCACTTACCTCATGGCAAATGTCCAAATGGTGTTCTTCTTTAACCCACTTAAATAAGCATTTGCAATGTCACGTTTCTGACTGCGGTACAAATCCTCTCCTGCATGTTTTCCAGGTTGTGCATTGCTGTATACAATGGCAGGCCTTTTCTTGGGGGGGGGGGATGGTGAGCCTGCATGCAGTTTTGTGCGCGCTATATAATTTTAAATACAGAATTTAATAATTTATTTTGGCCATTGGACAAAAAAGGCCATTTTAAACGTCTTTTGGACAAAAAATATCATTGGAATGCATTCTTACTTAGACAGGTAACTTTATAGGATACTGACCGAATTTGGCTCCCCTAAATTTTTTCGCCTGGGTGCGGAGTTTTATTTTGCCACCTTCAATGCATACCTGCCAAGAACATGCCTCATATCTGGTATTCAGAAAACGCTTACAGAAAAACATCAGCTTAGAGAGAATTGATAGCATTCTTTCATGTGCGCTTGTGGTGTAACTGTCAGCGAATCGAGACGGTCAATCAGTAGTTCCGGATTAGACTTCTCGCCAGGAAATATTTAAATTGGTGCATACCTGAGGCATTAGAATGAATTTTTTGTATGCTTCGAACACCTCTTTTGCTACATGTTTAAGGGGAGCGTTCCGTTTTAAAATTAATATTCCATGTTACTTATCAAATGATACTTTATCGACCGTATTTTCTCCAAATGGAAAACTTACTTGCATATCTTATCAGGTCTTGTGTTCCTCTTTACTTGCCTTGGAAACATGAACTGTCCTGACTCGGAACAGGGAGCTTACTCAAGCTATGTTCAATAAATTGTGAAGTAGACAATACACACAGGAAGGGTATACGAAACCCTTTATTTTCTATCTTTACAGAGATTTCCGGAACTTCGGAATACAGAGACCAACCACTTGTGGTCTGAACGTAAGAATATAAAACTACTAACTAAAACTCTAACTAAAACTAACTTTGGATTAATATACAAGTGCCTAACTTTAAGATTGGCCGTTATTTAACAAAATCCGTATGTAGTACAGAGAGCTGTTAAAACTACGATACGTTTGAATTTATCAAGAGGACTAAACCTCTGGCCTTGAAGGCAACCAGCAACCGAGTAAAACTACAGTAAGACCCCGCTTAACGCTATTTCGTTTAGCGCTGTTTCGTTTAGCGCTGTTTCGGTTTAGCGCTCTTTTATTTCAACCCGGGGATTCTCCGAAATTGTGCGCAGCGCTAGGTTTCCAAATAACATATCCGAAACAGTGTAGTTGTGTTTCTTGCTTGGTGGAAGCATTTTTATCATTTGAAACATTTGTTGACATTATTGTAAGTTTAAATTTGTATAATACTATAACGATTAATACAGTGACAAATATTATGATCTTTAGTTTTTATCATGGGTGATAATAAAAAACAAGAAAAGAAAGCAACCAGAGAAAAAGCATTTCACTGGAAACTCAAATGCAAGAGATTAGAAGATTAGATTCTGGTGAACGTCAATCTCAAATTAGTGCTGCATTGATTTTGGCAACTTCAACAATAAGGACAATTCTTAAGAATAAAGAAAAAATACTGTCATCGGCAACTGCAACTACGTCAAGCTCTGCAACTAGAATTACCCATTCTAGAAATAACATTATAGAGGAAATGGAAAAACGACTGTCTATATGGATTCAAGACGAAATTGAACGCAATATGCCATTAAGCCAATCTATCATAATGCCTTCTTAACAAAAAGGCAGAAAATTGGAAACCCAGAATAGACTGAATGATCTGAATGAGAATTTTATTTGTTTTAAAAGTATATGCGTTTATATTGTTTTTATTTTTGTAAGAAAATAAATGTTTGATTTTATTTTTATTAAAAAAACATTATTAAATTTAATGCCTAACCATTTTTTATCCGTCTTCCCCTAACCCCATTATTTACATGTTAAGATAGCCTCGCTTAGCGCTGTTTCGCATTAGGCTCTACTTCGATGGAACGTATCCCCCGCGTTAAGCGGGGTCTTACTGTACTATGGCAAGCGGCCTGCTTCTAATAACTCCTTCCTCTCTCTTGCTTGGCAAAAAGCCACAACTTAAGTACTTGGCGTTCGCCAGACAAATTTTGCATAAATAAGTTAACGCTTTTAATTCTGGCCGGAAGTAGAAAATAAGAAGTGATAGTAAAGATTTAAAAATAAAATAAACGTTCGTAAAACTTAAGATCCTTACAATCTGAAAGGTATTGCCGTGAATGATACATTTAAAGCCGCATTCAGAATAGGGTATTTCATTTGCGTTTATTACTTAAAAAGAATTCAACATGCCAGTATAATAGAAAATTAAATAAAATAGGAAATATTGATTTTGTAAACAGTTAGAAATCAAAATTTCTCTTCGCGAAATATTTTGGAAACTTAGTCAAATGAAATGGAATATAATTAAAAAAAATTAAATGTAAGCTAGACAAATGACAAGGTAGGTATGAAAAAGCTTAAAAAATTATCAACAGATTGTAATGTCTATGTACAAAAGTGTGACTCTTTCATTTCAGGTCTTGCCATTTGCAAAATAAAATGTAGAAACTATAACGAATGATAAAAAAGCTCTAAATAAACATTTCGAAAATTTTCTCTCTTAAGAAACCCATGACATATATTTCTGATTTCAATGAGCTGCTGCATAAAAACTATACCTAAGACAGTTGAACAACAGTCTATTAAGAAAACTGTAGACATAAATCATTAATAATTAAAATAACGTAACCGATTTTAACTTTAGATCCTGAAAATATATCGAGTCGCCTGCTTCTTCTGCATATTTTAAAATTTTCATAGGATTTCAACTTTTTAAAATTTTAATAGTGGAAAACGTAATATTATATTTATAAAATATATAACAGAAACAATTATCGTTTTATAATCGTAATTTTTTTTTAAAGTTGAGGAACTTCTGAAAAGCATTCCACGGAATTCTTGAGTTCCATGTAATGCTTTAGGCGGTTTCATTTAATTATCAGTGATTTAATAATGAAAATATCGGTGATATAATACGAAATAAAAGCAGGATAATTAAAATTTTAGTCGGAATTCAACCTTTTAGTTGATACAGGTTAAAAAAGGTTATGCAGTTGAAAGTGGAATGTGAAAGAATTTTCGTCTTCAAAAGGGAAAAATATTCTTCCATGATATTTTCTGCCAGAATGCAGTCTTTTCTCTCCTTGATGAAAAGGAAACCATTTTCTATCTTTCTAGAAATGAATAAAGATTACGTATGAAATCAACCTATAAACCTCAATCTAAAATTGAATTTTAATCACGTTTAAATTACTGACATGGGCAAAAGCACTAAGGTACTGTTAATGCTACTTAACATAACTATCTAAACATAACTAAGAGATATTCAAATGTAGAATTTTGTTTCTTTTTCTAGGGATAAGAAGGCCCCCGTGTTCAAGAAGAAGCCTGCCATCCGGCAAGAGGATGATGGCGACAGGCTTCTTTTCGAATGCATCATCGAAGCTAATCCAACTCCAACAATAACATGGTTCAGGGATGAGAAACCTGTGGCTTCACAAGGTCGATTTAAGGTAAAAAAAGATAAAACTTTATTACTTGAATTCGTTTTTATCTTTTCAATGCGAGGTAGAAGCTGAGATTTATGCTCTTGATTTTACTCTCCATTTTCAGATATGGATCAGTAGATATAATTTTGCATATTAAATGTTTTTCTATATGATTGTTAATAGTATTAGTAAATTCAGTTGAGCAGATAAAGCCTTTTGCACCTCTGTTAAGTATGTTATTTTAATCAAGATCTTTTCACTTCGACTTCACGAAACAGCCGGTCACGTCCAATACCGAAGTATGTAGTCATTTGGAATTCCTCAGATTTCGACAACAGGAATTAGCTAAAATTAAAAATTGTTTGTTATTTCACGTTTAAAGCTCGAAGTCTAGTTACGTAGCAAAATGACCAACACCTTTGGTTTTGGCTAACTCATATGGCCAAACCTCGGGATATGCATTATTTTTCGGGCTTTGACCAAATGAGCTTGCCAAGGCTAGACGTTTCTGAGCACTTCGTAAAAAGGTTAGACTTGGAAATTTTGCCAGTAATATTCATTAAAAGGCTACGGGCTATCTATTATGTGAGTTCTTTAGAAGTGACTTGTAAGAAATTAAAAAGTAGTTATTAGTCCAAAGGGATTTCAGTCCCGAAGGACTATTGCTTTCGTTTTGGCATTTTGCGTCGGATTCATAAACGTCGGTTCACTTTTCAAACTGTTGCCACAAAATGTTAGAGTCCTGCATTATATTTGAAGAAATTAAATAATGAAAAATCTGCATAAATGATTGTCTATTTCTCGCATTGTGATTAAAACAATGGTACATAGAGCCATCGAATTTTGAATGACGAAATCCTACTGCGAATATGGGCATCTGAAATCCCAAATTTGGAATTTGTTTTATTATAGATTTTATATTTTGTAAAACTTTAACGAATTTTTGATTTACAAACTCAATGCTTTAAAAGCGAGAAATAGCAACGTTATATAGAAAAAAAAAATACTTTTATCTCCAGCTCGCGAGACTGTGTATATCGGAAATTCTAAAGATATGCTTAATTTAACATTATTTTGCGATATTGCTCTTGAACTGAATTTTATGGTTTAAGTGCAAAGAACATGATATTTAATAAATAAAGGTAACACTCAAAACGTTAAAAAAACGCCCCTTTGGACGTAATTTAAAATCTGAAAAAATTTCAGATTTTTTTTTTTTTTTTTTTTTTTTTTTTTTTTTTTTTTTAGGTTTGTAGTCATAGAAATCTAATTCCTATAAAAGAAAATTAAGGACATAGTTTAATAACATTCTCTTCTGTCTTATTTGGAGACTTCCGAAACAAAATGAGATTGAGTGCATCAGAACTGTTTGTTTTTTAATAATTGCATAAACCTATACTGAACGAACATGTAAAACCCTGACTATTTAATTAGTTGCAGTTATCACATATGTGTTAAACTCAGTGAAATGCAATAGAGTCAAATTATAATTATTTAAATACCGAGGAGTGGGTGATAATTACGACAACCCACTCAACAAATATTTGTATATGGCGATGGAGAACCGAAAGAAATTTCGAAACTGAACCTTGATGTCATTTGCGTATATATTGCGTATATGCCATATAACGAAAACCAGGAAAATCCCTAAGGCTCACTCCGAACCAATCGAGCTTAGGGAGATAAAACAATGACGAAATACAATTGTGTTGTAGTTTCAGCTGTTGGCAGGCCTTCATATTGAGATATTTTAGGTGAATAATAATATGCATCTAGAACATTTTTTCATGACATACTTCTTTAGAAGTTTATTGGCGCATTCGGTCCGTCAAGTAATTTTAAAAAAATGGGGAACTTGGCAAGATCAAAACAATTTATTCCAGATCAGAATTTCGAAAACAGAAATTACAGTTTATCAAATCTAATAAGAGTTCTAACTAATATATTTTTTATGGTTATACACATTTAGAGTGACAATAAATTTTTGGAAGTGCAAGTCGTTTGAGTATCATGAGGAACTGTATGCACTTGAGAGTTTTTATCAACTTTTTTGTAATTTTGGCATTTAGAACTTATAATATTTATATAAATTAATCGGAATTCAGATTTTTCTTAACTCCTTTTTTTAAACTATAAACTTCAAAATTCTAAGAGCATATTATAAATAAGAACTTTAAGCGCTGTACTTGTTTTGGAAGAGACTGCATTCTGAATTATATTTCTTATTAAAGTTTCGAGTTAATTCAAACTTTGTCAGAATAATTTCATTTTTAAAGCATGAAATAAAATTGCGTTTCCCGAAAAATTAAATTTCTTATGAATGATTATATCAATTATATATGGGTAAAAAAAATTTGGAAATTAAAAAACTTGAGACACTTTCTAATGATTTTTTAAAATATTTTAAATAAATTCTTAATGGTGTTTGTTTGAACATTTCATTTATACGTTGGATGTTAGTAACAGAAAGTTAAACGTTTTAAAATTTGTATTAGCAAGAGATCATTCTAAACAATTCCGATGAGAGTATCTGTATGTAACTGTGTGAAAAGTTCGCTAGGATTTGGTATGGAGTTATTAATTATTGAAATTGTGAATAATGGGCATTTATATTGCAATCGGCAATGCCGAAAACATAAACGTGTCATACACCGTACATTATTAGATATTTCGGATCAGGCATTGATTTTTAAGCATTTAGATGTTGCAAATGATTCTTAAAAAATCAAATAAAACATTTTATAAAAGACGATAAAAAATTCCAACTTAGTTTCTTTTTATTGGGATATATTTACTGAACAAATTCTTCTTGCCTTTTTATTATTTTAATTCTACAATATCGTATTAAATATCTTTGGAAACATTAATAGTTTCACTCATAGATATTATTAATTATTTAAACCTGTACATATTTTTATATAAAAGTATACGTGTGCATTATTTTCATTGTAATTTATATGTAAAGCGTCATGTATATTATTTTCATTGTAATTTATATGTAAAAGTGTCATGTGTATTATTTTCATCGTAAAATTTATTAGAAACAAAACACATCAGTCAACTACATAGCATTAAACTCATACGCAAATTAAATTGATTACAGAAAGAGAAGATGATAAGTAAAATTTCAACACGCTTCGCGATATTGTCAGTACAATTTGGGTAAAATTCTGTCTTTTATTCGATGAACTTTGTCTAAGTAGTAAGGTACTCTTCACAATACGTGGCTTACAGTTTGGTTCAATATGCGTGTCTACAATAGATTCAAAAACATATCAACATTCTGCTGTTCTGCATTGAAAAAAATTAAGAATTTGATGATTTTTACACTTAATGAAAGTAATATTACTGTATGGAACTCAACAAATCTATAAAAGACAATATAATATTATACTTATTTTAATTTTGTTAATATATTTTGATTAGGATAAATAATAATATTTGTCTTCGTGCTCCGTTTTATTTCGCACTACACGGACTGGTCCCAACTGAGTGGCCCCCATATCAGGCAGGGGTTGGTTCACCAGTCAAAGTTACCCAAGAGGATAAATGTATGTTAATCATGCTACAACCCCGGGACAATCCGAGGTGGCAGTCTTTAAGAAGTTTCTCTATAACCACTGCTGCCTCCTGGGCGCGGGGTCTCCATTCCCGGTTCCCAGGTTCCACGGCGGCGGGGAATTTGCATGCCTGGAGATCTGACCTGTCGTTAAATGCTCTCGCCAGTACTACTATCAGGTTCAATATTCCTTCTAACCTTCTTCGGGAACATACAAGGACCTGACTAGGAACAGAGAGCTTACTAAAGCTATGTTCACTAATTTGTAGTAAGTAGACAGGATACAGACGAAGGGTATACAAAAAACCCTTTATTTTTCTCTATATACAATAACTTCCGTACTTCGGAATACAATGACCCGCCACTCGGGGTCAAACGTAAAAGTATAAAAATAAAACTAAACTCTAATTTAACTCTAGAATAATACACGTGGAAGATTGGCCTTATAATAACAGGAAGCGTATGTAGCACAGAGACTGTGAACACTACAATACGTTTAATTTATCAAGAGGATTAAAACCTCTGGCCTGGAAGGCAAACAGCAACTGCGTAACTTCTAAGGTAAGCGGCCTGCGTTGACTTACTGCTTCCTCTCTCTTTCGCTTGGCAAAAAGGCCACACTTAAATACTTGGCGTTCGCCAGACAAACTTTGCATAAAAACCTTCACGCTTATAATTCTGACCGGAAGTAGAAAATAAGAAGTGATAGTAAAGATTTAAAATAAAATAAACGTTAGTAAAACTTAAGATCCTTACACTACTCGGGCTCGGACTCTTTTCTCTGTGGGCCAACACACACCAGGCGGAGTACAGAGTTCTTACCTCTCTGATTACAGGGTAGTAGTCTTTGCCAATTCGTCCTCAGTCCAACTGTATGAAACAATCTTCCTTTGGTGTTCTGGAACCACCAGGCTCATAATGTTATATTCCCGTGGCCGAGACTGCCTAGATACTGATCCTAGCCAGTAGATTCACGGAGTTCTCTACGTCGACCTCCGGAGGGGGAACTAGGGTAAAGCAGTATCTATATTGACTGCAGGCAATTGCTTGAATATATGAAATATTTTCCATCTTTAGATCAAGTGCGATCGCAAAGGAGATGATTATCATTGCGCCCTGGTGATCGACGACGTAGAAGAGGAAGATGGAGGAAAATACAAAGTAACGGCCACGAACAATCTCGGAGAAAGTAGTGCCACTATTAATCTAAATTTTGACAGTAAGTAATTTAGGAACAATTCTAAATTTTTTTTAATTTGAAGTTTAAGTGGAAAATATTTTACCTGCGAGTTTCGAGTAATTTTTTAATGTGCATAATATGTTTAATGTTTTATAATAGTATATGTGTGTGAAGGTAAAACATGTAAAATTAAAATAAAATCGCAACTTTAAATTGTTGCAGTTCTTTAAGAGTCCTTTTTACACTGCTGGCCATTAAAATTGCAACACCTTGAAGGAAAGCAAATACAAAAAAGATATTTATTTTACGTAAACAGTATGGCATAAAGACAAATTGATTAAATTTATAAGCAGTTTGGGGGTTTACAGGGGTGAGAAATTAGTAGAAACATCTACCCTGGCAGCTAAAACAGCCCTTACCCGGTTACGCATGGAGTCGAACTGGGCGTGGATGACAGAAACGGGCAACTCATTTCATGCTACTACAAGTCTGTGCCATACTTCATAAACCGTATTAGCTTTAGAGGGGTGGCGGACCAGTCTCTCAGCAACCCATGCCAGATGTTTTCAATGGGTGACAAATCTGGAGATCGTGCAGACCAGCGCAGCAATCGAATACCCTGGTATCGAGGAAGGTCAGAACATTACGTACAACATGTGGTCTTGCATTATCTTGTTGGAAGATGGCATTTGGCAGGCCTCGAAGATAGGACACAACCACTGGACGTAAGATGTCAGAAATGTACCGATCTGTGTTCAAATTACCGTCGATTCGAACTAGAGATGTGCGTGTTCTGTACACAATGGCTGCCCAAACAATCACACCAAGTGCAGGGCTCCTATCCAATATCGAATGCAACCAGGCGACCTGCGGTCTCCTCGGTGCCTCCAGACACGTATACAGCTCTCAGATTATTGCACGTAGAACCGGAACTCGACTGAAAAGAAGACATTGTGCCATTCCTGTACCCAATTGTCCTGTATCAATTTTACTCCTGTATCAACTGTCGTTCGGCACACAAGAGTCGTCGTCTGTATCTGCTGCATTGTCAAGAGAAGCCGAAGTAATGGTCTTCGTGTTGATAGTCCACGCGGCTGCTAACTTCGACGCACCGTACGAGTGGATGGGCTCGCTGCTTGGCAAAACTGATGTTCCTAGGCATGCTGCAAACATGCCCATTTCCTGACTAATGGTCCGTGCCGTGGTTGTACAGTTTCGCAGGGCTGATATCACAATATGTCTGTCCTCTCGGGCGTTAGTTATGGGAGGGAGTTGAGATTCTGCATGCCATTCAGTATGACTCTCAACAACAAACTGATTCCATATTCACATGACAGTGGTTGAATGTCAAACAGAGCGACGGGCGATATTACGAAACGATAATCTATACTCTCGATACGCAATGATCCTGCCTCTATCGAATTCCGACATTTAGTGGTGAGCATTTCTTCTTCTTTTTCGAGGCGTAAAACGATATTCTGAGCAAACTCCGACCTTACTAAACGCTCTCCGAATGAGAAATCTACTGCACAGTTTTTCTTTGATGCAGTGCTTTAGATGTCGATTCTTTCTCCTGCGTCGTCTAAATGTGCTGAAATACTAATCATTAGCCCAATTTATTATTCTCTTCATGTGATTTTGACGTTCATCAGATCATTCCTTCCTAGTGTTGCAATTTTAATGGCCAGCAGTGTAATTTGGTTATTTCCTCGTTTTGTGTTAAAATAATAAAAGTTCTGCATTAAAATAATAACATGCTTACAATAAATATCTCTGAACTTCAGCATTTCTGCTTCTTATATAATGCATATACTTATTAACGACAAAGGTCTTTTAGCCATTTCATTGGCTTCATTGATAAGTGCTATACTAAAATTTCGAACCAAAATTTTAATGAACTAAATAAACTAAGCTGTCACTGTGTTACGTTTAATCTAACCTTCATGTTATAATCCACACTTCAAATAAATAATAAAAATGCGTAACATCTTTTTGAGAATTTTTTTATATCAAGAATAAAATGTGTTGAAAGCTATGACCGCAAGTACTTCTTTATTATTTTACTTACATCATATTCTATGTTATCTCCATGACAACTTTTATTACATATACATATAAGCTCGATGTTTTACGTTTGAAAGCAAAAAGGGTTCCGACAGTTTTGCGTATCGTAAACTGATGTTCCAAAGGATTTAAACAGTTGTGATACCTTATTGCTCCTGCATAAAAAAAAATCGATTAATACCTAATATCATATTGAACGCTTTTTCTGAAAATGCTTCAAACATTCAAAAATAGGCTTTCTGAAAAAACAATCAATCAAATGTGTAAGGATTAAATATGTAAAAACTTTTAAGAAGTTTTGTTTGTTTGCATTTTGTTTCGTATTTTCTAATTCAATTTGTGAAGTGATAATTTATTTTTAAAAATAAAGAAACTTAAATAACCAAAAAATATTGTACACACTTAACCCTAAAATTTACTTTTAATTTTCAAAAGCATATATGAAGGCTTTATAATTTGTGACGGTATGAAATGTATCTTGCCCCCAAACCACTGACGGGATTTAGTGTTAATTTACAAAGTCCTCAGCATTTTGCAATATATAAAGTATTAATTTTTATTACAACTGAAAACTAATATGAATTCTAAAAATTATTTAATGACAATAATACTGCGTGTAAAAAGTAACGTTATTTAAATCTACAGTTTTGCAATAAAATGGGCAATGAAATTAGATACGTTATCTGATAATTGCCCAAAATGAATTACAGTACAACTTTACTTCAGCTGGTTCGCTAAGCTAAAATATTTTACTGCCGATTCAATGCGAAACGATTGAATAACAACATTCCCTATAATTTGCTTTTTACTTTTTTGTTACGGAAGAAAAGTATATTTACTATTTCGTGATATAACTGTTAAAATCTATATTTAGTTATTATCATTATCTTTATTTATTATTATAAGATAATCAGAAATGCCTGCGAAAATTTCCCTTCACAGGAAAAAAAAAAGTAAAGCTTTAAAAATTACATTGTTCACCAATCATAATTACATATTATAAAAGACATGTCATTATACTGTGCAATCAAGTGAAAGTAATAATAGTTACACTATTAAGATAGTTTTTATACTATATTTTATGTAATTTTTACATCTTCAAGAAAGTGGTTATAATTTTGCATGCTTTATTTGTGTATTTTTATTTTGTTTCATTTGTCTGTTTATGTGTGTTATGTGTGTATTTATTTAGGTTTGTTTGGAACAAAAAAACATTTTATAGGTATTTTTAGCTGTGTATTAATGAAAATTAACCATAATGTTAATAATAAAATATAATTTTTCGCAATTACGCCAGGAAATAAAAAATACACATTTCTTCAATCACATGAATGTAAAAGTGGAAAACAGTTTCTAAAATAATGATTATCATTTGTTTATCAGTTTTGTATGATTTTTCATATTTTAGAGGAAAAGTTTATTATCGTATGCGTTATTTATTTATTTTTGCGGAGCACGGGACGCAGCGATTTCTGAATATGTGTTAATGATGTTACTAATGACAAAATGTAGCTTTTGTCAACTATACTTATAAACAGCAAATATACTTTTTGTCTACTAAGAACACAGCTTCTTCATTTACTAATAGCAAAAAATCATTACAAGTGAATAACATTGGCCACTCTTTTTTCGTCAGATATAGAACTGACTGGCCAAATCCCGAAGTAATAGTAAACTGCCGTATATTTTGAGAATGTGGGCACACAACACAGCCATAGCAAGAAGCTTCGAGCTTTGATTGTAACAATAGAAAAAATAACCGTAGATTTTTGAAAAATAATAAAAATTAGAAAAGCAAGCTAGGTTCTTCTTTCATCCTTATTTTTTTAATCTTTCATTTCGTCGCTAAATGATTATATACATAATACACATAAATGTCTTTGTTTCTTTATTAGCTGAAGAAGATGAAGAAGAAGAAGGGATCCCAGTTTTTACGGGAAAACCTGTCATTAAACAGAGCCCTGATTTCAACAGCATTATTTTCGAATGTAACCTCACTGCTGATCCTAAACCTACGTTACTATGGTAAAATTTTTCATTGAGTTGTTATAATTTTTAAATACTTTGACAGTCGAATTAATTAACAATTCAATCCTTATCTAACGTAAAGAAATCGAAGATCTTTAAAATATACTGATTTTTGCACTTATTCATGTTTTATTAAGTCACTTTTAAGTCACAAATTAATGTTATAAGGTATTTCTCCTGCCTTCTTAGCGAGCCTTCGTGGTGTAGTGGTCAGCACGCTCAGCGCGTAATTGAGAGGTCCGTGGTTCGATTTCTGGCGAAGGCGTTGCTAATTTTTCACCTCTCCGACTTTTCCAAAATACCTAATGTCTCTACAAAGCATTTATAATATTTTAGTCATTTAGCCGGGAGTGTCGGACTACGTCTGTCTGACATCCCAATATGACAGCAAAGTCCCAGCCGTCCGTTATCTGTTACCAGGGGCATTAACACATTTTACTGACTGTAAACAATCTGAAAATTAGCAACGAAATTTCGAGATTCATGAGGAAACATATAAGTATTCGTGCGATTGATAAAAACGTTTTCGTACTCAAATTGCTCTTTCGTTATTGACTATTGGATTGGATATTAACAACAAAATAGCCTTAAAGTGTGTGTGCTACGAGCTTTGCTTCCAGCCTAATCACTTTGCGGATCTGCTGGCAAAACCCATTTATCCGCAGTGCTGTATTCAAAAGCTAGTTTCTACTGTGCTGCTGGTCTAGAGCCCATTTTAAATCAGTTCCAAGAATGAAATTTGTAAAAATTAGTGCAAAAAAGAAAGTAATAACAATCGTTAGACGCATAAAACAAAATAATACTTGATCGAGCTGATGCTATCCATATAAAATTCATAGGAATTTCACAATATTCTGCCGCTAAATATTTAGCAGTGTTTCTTGATGATACATTCACATTCAAGATCCGGTCATATACGCAAGAGACTAAGCCGATATGACTCTCAAATATGTTTCAAGCCAAGCGTAGAAGCAAAGAATTTTATATATCTTTCCTCAATAAATCTGTTTTCCGCCGCTACATTCTGGGTTGCTCACAAGGCTCTAATAATCATTCATTATTTATCTCGGTTTGTCTGAAATATTATTCAAGACAAAGAAGTTTATATCCATAATTATTTTCTTACCACAGTCTCAAAATTCTGCGCGAAATATGAGAATCATGGTTAAGTCTTATGAGGGAACCTTTTTCATTTTGAGGCATTATACAAGGATGACGTAAGCAAAGGCAAATTTTCGTAATGAAAGATGATAAGCGAATTGCGCCTTCAACGTATTGATTCTCTCAATATTCCCCTATATTTATATAAAGTTGGGGACGAAATTTCTTTATTGAGCGACATTTGTTTCAAACAGACAAATCTATCGTCGATGTAACCCCAAATTTGTATGTAGTGATCACCCTCACAGTCCAAAAGCAATGAAGAAAAAGAATGTAATATAAACAATTAACTATAGACTGTCTCTTAGCATTTTCTTGTTATAATACATTTATTTCAATCACATAGGTTTCACAACGGAAAGCCTGTCAGTGAAGGGGGACGGTACAAATCTTTGCTCAAAGCCACCTCTTCGGGCTTCTTAGCGACTTTAGAAATTGCTCAAGTAGGCTCCGCGGATGGCGGAGAGTACAAAGTAATTGCCAAAAATTCCGTAGGAGAAGGCTCGGCGGCTATAAACCTCAATTTTGAAGGTTTGTATTATCTGAGTTTATCTGTCAGGTTTAAAATTTTATTAGTAAGTTTATTTGTTTATAATCATTCTTATTAATATTTTTCTTTTATATTTTTACAGGTGATGCAAGTAAAAAGTGAGTGTTATTTCTCCAGTATTTGGTAATTTAAAAATTAACATTAAAACACATTTTCATGCTTGTTTAGCATGCTTGCATAGCAGTGTTTGTATTAAACTGTAGTAAATTATTAACTAGTAAGTGTGTGAAATGCAGTTTGTTATTTTATGGACACAGTTCTGTTTAGACATGAATTTGAAATATTAAATTTATACTTGAAGAATCTGAGTAAAATCGCTTGATTGCCTTGCTACATAATTCCAAAACGTTTTGCTTTATTTTCTACTTTTCTTAGCAAAAAATTATTAATTCATTAAGTAAGGGCTACATAATCTAGGTAAACTTTTCGTTTCATTACTTTATAACCCTTTACTATGACAACTAGTTTATTATCCTATTTATTACCCCAGTTGAGAGCCAGAATTCTTTCCTCTTATCTAATAACTGTTATTTTCATGCATGTCAAGTCTCTTAGTATCTTATTCAGAATTTAATTATTTGGTCACAAAATTGTCGAACAACGAGTAAAAAAACTTCTAGTTTTCTCCCTTAGGCTATCAGTAACACGCAACAAAAAAGAGGAAGTTTTCTGTTGGCTTGACCGATGAACATCTGTACGGAATTCAGATGGTTAAGCAAATTAACCTTTTAAAATCAGGAAAATGCATGTATAAAAATGAGTTGCAAGTGTATTAAAATTTTATTTTTTTGCAGAATTCCTGGGGGTAAAGCGCCGAGATTTCCTAAAAAGCCTGCCATTAGGCAAGAGGGCGATTCCCTTTGTTTGGAAGTAGTTTTAGAAACACATCCATTTCCTAAAATTACATGGTATCTTGGAAATAAAGAAGTCAAAGAAGGACCAAGGCATAAAATTACTAAGAAAGAAACGGCAAAGGATACTTATTTACTAAGTTTGGAAATCTTGGTAAGGGAAAACATAGTTTGATTTTCATTGCTTCTGAACCCAAAAAGCAATTAAGTAAGAAAGCTATAACGTTTCTATGGAAAACAAAGAACAAAATATTATTTCTAGTAATTGTTTAGTACCGCAGATAAAAGTTTACTTGACTTTACACAGTTAACAATCGACAAAGAATTGACCGATTATTAGTCATGCAAAAATCGTTACTCAAATCTATTACACCAAAAATAATTAATACTGGTAGCTTAAAAAGTTTTACGACTGCTACTGTAATGACGAACTTGATGATTTGAAAGCGTTTATACTTAATTTAAAATATAGCATTAGCAGTCATACACTTCTTCCAGCTATTGTGCAACTGTTTAAATATTTTTGGAATAGTTTATTGGCGCGTCGTTCCAAGCATCTTGAGAAGCTGTTTTCTCAAAACAAAACTTGCGTATTTAACGCTTCCATCCAGTGTTAGGGAAAAAGGAGTGCCTGTAGTGAACTCAATTAACTCAGCTGACGAGACCCAGCGCTTCTATAGAATATTATCACGGGAAATAAAATAATTATATTTTCTTTATATCCCTGAAATTAAATTTCAATTATCTATATAGTAGGCGTTCTCATATAATAACTTTATGTGATTCGAACTAATAATGGAAATGGTTTTCAATTGAAAATTTATCTTTCATCACGAGTTTATACACAAAGTGGGGCATAATATTCTAACCATCAGAAGGCTGGGAAATTGAAGTTGTGTCCACCTTCATAGCAAAGTACGTCCTCACTTCTTGTTCTGTTTGCTAAAATAAAAACACATTAGCAAAAAGGATAACTTAAATGTTTTTAACCACTGTACGTGTGTACGTGATTCTGAGAAATGTTTTAAAGGCAGATATTTTCACGTCACCAACTCTTCAACTGAGTACCACTCACTGAAATTTTGGGAACTACTAAGCATAATTAAATCTTTACACAAAACAAAAGTTACTTACTTTAGCTTAAGATGAAAATAATAAAAATGGAGATCTTTTATATTCTTTCGAATATAAAGCAAATTTCTTTCCTAGTCTCAAATTCTAATTGTTACGTCATCATTTTCCTTTTTAAGAGTAACAGTAATAATATAATTGTATTTTGAATAACTCCATATATTTATACACCATAAAGCTTTATCAAATGTTTAACATTTCGTAATGAAAAAAATTTGCTTTTGTAGGAGAAATATCGCGCATATTGTTTTGAAAGTTTGATTTTGTAGGAGATATATCGCGCATCATTATCGCGAAATGAGGTTTCTCACTTGAAATTTCCATCAATTCAAATTTTTCACTTGAAATTAAGTCAAATTAGATAAAATATTATCATTTTTGGATAAAACTTTTGTTTTACAATTTTGTGAAGTTGTTGAGTTTCCAAGTTGTTGAAATAATTTAGCAGTTAAAAGGAAAATTGCTTTTTGCAGGATCCTTCACCGGAAGATGGAGGAACATACAGATGCAATGCCGTAAATGAACTCGGAGAAAGCAATGCCAATATTGCTCTTAATCTTCAAGGTGAGAATATCTGTGTCTGATATTAGTTTTGAATAAGTGAAAATTTGTATCTTTAACTATGTGTTTTGTGATAAGGTAATTTCCAAAACTGATTAAAAGTTCCTACACCAAATATTTGAAGAAACTTTCCAATATATTTATTCATTGGGTTTGGAAAATCAAATTTACAACATCTTTAGCCTTAACAGACTTAATAGGCATATAGTAAGAGTTAAGTATATTGTGTTATCATATCTCTAAATTTTAGTTAAAAACATAAATTTATGTTTTGGAAGATTTATTTAATTACAGATAATAAACTAAAATAATAAGAACCAATTTTTTAATAAGAATGTAAGATTATCAGTTTAGAATTAAAGATTTAGGAAACTGGAAGTAAAAAGCATAAAGACTCATTCCAGGAGTATTTATTATTTACATAATTTCTTTTCCATAATGATCTAGTAATTCTTAGCCCTGAATTTGTTTTATAAAATTGTTAGTTTGAGTGTTGTATTTCAGTTAGCAACTACAACAAAGTAATATTTGAATCTTTGTTATGACTTCAAACTATAACAAACAACTTGCTCACTTAGCAAAGAGACGCGAAAAAAGTAAAACAAGTCTTTCACATGACACTTTTAGCGGCCGGTTTTTACTAATTATTCATAAGCAATATATTTTAAATAGATTTTTTTTTATTTGTGTCATGGCAAAAGTACACATACATACCATTTACTCCTATAGCAGGAGTGCTTGATCTTTTCCTCAGTCTTCGTCATTCGACAAAATCCTACCGACTTCATTGTCTTTTTCAGTATTATGATTGGGAGCGTTTATTCCATAGCATTTGAGATGCCCTTCACTTGAAAGCGTTTTCAAGTAATTTCCTGAACTGTCCACTCTGGCAATATCCACGGATTTTATCCACTTCATAGCAAGACTATAGTCCATTCACCCTTTTTCCTGTTCTGATACAACTGCATATGCAAAATTGTTTGTGAACTGGCCAGTCTTTTAACCTTATAATCCTTCTTGAAAATCTAGGTGCGCTCATTACACAAGCTGTAGGGTATTCATAACTTTCATTCACTTATGAACCTTAAGAATAATACTACAAATAAAATATAGTAAGGAATTTTAAAACTAGAAGTTTCCTAAATCAGAAACCTCCCAGTTGTTCATCACTATACACAATTGCTTTAGGTTAAAGTACATAGTTTAAAGGTTTCTTTTTAAAATATTGCATGGTACTTTTAAAAGAGTCTCATTTGGCTAGCATGGCATTGGTGGAATAGCTGCGAGCGTTAAGTAAACTATCAACTTTCAGTTGACCGTTTGTAAATAAAATCTAATTTGTTTATGAACTTTATGCCTCAATATTAATTTATAAACGCTATTCATTATTTATTATTCTATTCTCCCATACAATGAACAGTGTCAACTATACGTGTTCATGTGCATATCTGTTCTTATGCTTTGATTCAAAAACATCGCATCGATCATAGTATATCATCTGTTAAGTAGTGTTTCGGATTCGCAAAATCAATGATTTAAAAATCACAAAATTTTTAAAAGCAGCATCTTTAGAATTCCCAAGAGAATTTTAGATGTTGCCATACATATTTTCATATTCTCTGTATTATTTCTTTAAAAATAATACATAGTGATTTGGTGAAGGTATCCTTTTATTTGAAAAGTGTTTCGGTGCAAAAATTGAAACCTATATAAAACTGAAGATTGAGGCTAATACATTTAATTGCTTCATAACTAATGTCTTCATAATGAGCTTAGTTTTGTTGTATTTAGCATGATTCCAAGAATATATTTAATGCTTACAAATGTAATACGTTGTTTTCAATCACGTACATTTTAAACACCAAATTTGAGAAGTTTCGGGCTATCTCACAATGTTTCAAGTAAAGAACCACTTCCAATTTATGGGCTTCAAGTAAAGTATCACTTCTGATTGTCACATTTTACCTGAAATTTAATCAAGTTTATATATGAGTGTAGGACGCATAAATACGGAAAACGAAAATTTTTAGAAATTTCATATAAAGCGTTATAGTGGAAGAAAAAAAATCGTGTCACACATACACAGAGTCCAAAATAATAAAATTAAAAAGCGAAATAAAAATTAATTAATTAATTAAATTTAAATTCATTCTAAAAATCATATATCGTTGGGACCCTTATTCATGCTTATTCACTGAAAACTTTTAATCGAATATTTGAACCAGAAACATTGTTTTCCTTACCTATATACAAAGGTAAAAAGAGTTTTGAGAAATATGTTAGGAATGGAAATCTGAATACATGGAATTTAAAATAAAAATGAATTTTTCGGAACTACGAGGAACATGCATGATTCCATAAAAAAATCTGCAAACATCTTAATGCTGTCCTTTTTGTTTATAAAAGAATTTTTCCCCCTAAAGGTAACAAAAAAAATAATAATACAAGAACAATACTGAGATGATATTCTGAGTATCTTTCTTAAAAACGAATTCCAAGATCTTTTAATATACATTTATTTGTCTTGATTGTAAATGAGTAGCTGGGCACCCAACGTAGAAATGCTTTTTCCATTTGCGCTTCCAGCGAAAACAATGCGTCTGCATTATACATTTAAGAATTCTTCAGCTTTTAAAATTTTCGTAGTAGTGCTATGAAGGGGAAATAAATCAAACTAAATGAAGTTTTTAAACAAATTGCTTATTAAAAAATTTAGGAAGACAGAACAGGAGATAAGCTGGAAAAGGAATAAGGATTAAATTATGCATCTTTCATATAAAATGTAAGCTTTACATAGTCAATATGAAGTTACGTTTTAAGTTATACCAAATTTATTAACGTTTTTTTCCGACGAAATGTGTCTATTAGTTTTGATTTATCTTAATTATTAAATTATGAAATAATATTCATACTTAAATGGGTGCATCACTCGTGTATCACTTTAGTTACAATGAAGTCCAAAAGAGTCTAATGCCTAAAGCTGCAGAACTTAAGTAGTTGATTTTGGATTCTATTCTTGATAATCGAACTTGTGGACTCTAGTGCTTTGTCATAATAAAATATTTAACTTATTTTTGTTACAAGAGATAAAAATCAGTCTCTTTTTCTTTATTAAGGCGAGGCTGAAGGTCCCACCTTCACCCAGAAGCCAAAGATCATTCCAAAAGAAAGTGGGAAACTCATCCTGATGGAATGCCATGTGAAATCCAAGTCGGCTCTGAAAGTGACATGGTTCCAGGGCAATAAAACAGTGCAGGAAAGTCTCAGGATAAAAAGTTCCATTGTTGAACTTAGGGGTAATGAATACAAAGTAGCCCTTGAGATAAGGGTAAGTTGAACTTCTGTTACAGATTTCTTATTCGCAAGGTGTGCCGTATGATCTTGTCCTATAATTCTCTAATCTGAAATAGTTTTATATCGGCTTGTACATAACTGAAGAACACTTTCGACTTTAGTTCCCAAATTATGAAACATAGATTAATTTTATATTCTTCAACAGCATTTTGAAATAACACTAAAGTTTTTTAATTGTGTTCGGGAAGGCTTTGCATTTATCATGGCAGTCTTCGACGTAGTTTTTGTGTTCTAAGAATTATTTGAAATATATTAAAGACGAATTATTTGAAATATTGCATTAAAGTAGACAACAACTTTCAGATTCTTAGTGTAAAGTATTCATTAAAAATGTCGGTATTTTCCAAACTGTAATGGAATGTTTGTCAAACGCGTATGACTGCTAAAATCCGGTATTTAGTATGAGAGCTTTAGCAATCCATTCCAGTTCCGTAAGCTTTGATTGAAGTGGTAGCTTAATATCTGAACTAAAGGTGGAAGCCAAATTCGTATTTAAGTTGCATAAAAGAGGTGTAGGAACTTCAGAAGCTCTTGAGACAGTATCCATATACGATGGTTTTTCAAATCAGCCTGTCACAAATGGTTACACAATGTTTAAAAAAGTTTTCAATTCAACCAACCTTGGTTGCAACTCTTTTCAAAGAAACTTCATTATGGCCACCATTTTGATTTTGTACGGCATATTCAACAGAATGCTAATGCAGGCTTGACATCTATTACAAATGATGCATTTAAGGATTATATCAAGGTTTATGAGGACCACTATAGCAAATATATCTGTAGGGTCACTAGGTTTATTTTGGAGTAGAAAATGGGAAATGCATCGACTGCACTCGAACTCTAGACCCTCCGAGGATGCGTTTTCCATTAACATCACCATGGCACGCGGTAAGGAGAAAGAAATGGGAGACTATGTAAGGTCTCCTCCTCAATCGCCCTTTACATAAGGGCCTCCTCAGTCGCCCTTTACGTAAAGAGCGACTGAGGAGATCGGGAACCAATCGCCAACTCTTAAGATGAATAATTATCTTTAGTTTGGATGCTACTTGTGGAGCCAAGTATAATTCTTTTGAAGTTGGGAAATATGAGAAATCAGTGATAGCATCGGCGAGATTCGAACTCTAGATCCTCCGACACTACTGGACGTGCTTTTCGATTACGCCACGAAGAGAGAAAAACGTTACAAACTTTACATTTGTATAAAGACACTATACTTCTAAGACACATGAATAATTTTTCATCAACTTCCCCAAGTTGTGCGTATTATTTTAAAAAAATTTTAAAAGTAATAAAACGGATGTAAGGAATCATTTATTACGATCGTAAGTCTATTGTATTTAATTGCTTTATAGTATTTAAAATGAAATATTTCCTGTTAATTAAATTGCATCTCTGCTAATATATGTGTATATAATTTGATTTATTCTAATTTATTTCCTAAAATGCGACTAACTTATTTTTAGTTCTTAATATTTTGACATTCTTTGATGTAATGAGTTTAAGAAATTATAACTAGATCTTTTTATTCCATTATAGGATCCATCTTCTAAAGATGGAGGAGTCTATAGATGCAACATAAAGAATGACGAAGGAGAAATAAATGCCAATTTGAATTTGAACATAGAAGGTACATTTTTAAACGTTTTTACATCACCCATTTTACATTTATGGAAACTGATTTTCAGAAAGATAGTACATTTAAGGATTTTAAGCTTACGGAATTTTGGGTGAAATAACTGTTTCATATTTCGCTAATTAACATAAAAGAGATTGTATTGGGAATATATTAACCATTAGAAGAAATAAAAGACAAGTGAATATCTGCATGTATCAGAATCAAGAGAAGCAAGGTTTCTGCAACTATTTGACTTTTTAAAGTCTATTGGATTTCTTAAAGTGTGTTTAAATTTACAAAACTAATTTTCTTGTTTGATTTTTTTAAAAACGTATTTGTTCAACACAATTGCCACCTTGTAACGAGTAATTTCTTTGATAGACTGGTGTATTGGTTTTAAGGTATATGACCGAGGTCTCATGTCCATTGGGGTTTCGGGAATCGATATAGTTCAAACACGATCCTATTCTACTGATATCACATTAACTGATTTTCGACTTTTCTTGAAAATTAAACTCCATAAATATGTAAGAAATTACGAAGAGTTCATAAGAACAGAGAAAGATTTTTGCGAGTTTTACAAGCTATGGATTTCATCTTATGAAGAAACGGATAAATATTGACGGTAATTAAATCGGAAAGCACTGTATAACTAAATATTTAAAGAAAAGCTATAATCAATAATCTAAATTGGTTCTGTGGAGTTAAAAGGACTTTTAGATCATTCTAAAGTAACCTTGCTAGTGCCTCACCAGCTCGTAGACTAGTTTATTTTGTAGTTCACTCAAGACAAAGATTCTTTCCTAAACTGTAAGTCTATAGTTATTTCTTCGTTAGACAGTATGTATATTGAAAACATATTTTTGTTTTTATCTAAGGTGAAAGAATCGAAGGAGATGCCCCTTCGTTTGTCGAGAAGCCAAAAATCACTTCAGAGGAAGAGGGGAAAAGGATTATTATGGAATGTAAAGTGAAGGCTAACCCCAAGCCTACCATCACGTGGTACTTGGACAATGTAGTAATTAAAGAAACTTCCAGAATAATTCAGACAGTGAAGCAAGAGAAAGATATCTACACCATTCGATTGGAACTCAAGGTATGTTTTAAGGATTTCTTCTCTACAAAAACTTTAGTTAATTATTGACCAGAGGAAGGTTTTTTTGCGCAATGTTCCGTATTTAAGCACGCTGTATTAAACTGTCTGAAAGTAAAATTAAGATTTGAAAGAGTGTAAAGCGAGAATATACAGACAAGTGATTTAAAACTTCTCAAACTGTGATTACCTAACTAAGCAATTAAGTAATTTTCAAACTTATTTTTGTAGATGTTGAATGCACTATTTACTATATAACAATTTTGGTTTTAAATATACTGATGGGAAAAATTGAAGGAACTAAGCAAGTTTTGTAACTTGAATTATTTTGCATCTAAATCAAAAATATGGAACTTGCATTATTTTGTCATACTTGACATACCTTAAAACTGCAGAACAGTCTATTTCTAAAAAGAAAATAAATTTAAATAGAAATATAGGAAATGTGATATAAAATGCTTAAGTTGGTGTTACAACTTTTTGAAAGGCGCTTGATGAATAGTAATGGTTGGAGAATGCTTCTGAAGAATGTTAGGTGGCAGCTGTAGCGATGGAAGTCAGCGTCCATGAATGGCCTGTACAGCGTCCATGAATGGCCGTTCTATTGGATTTAAGTACAGAGAGTATGTGAGACACTCCATTCATTGGATTCTTTCACCCTTAATGTAATCAATCAATCACTAGTGCAGCGCGATGAGGACGACTATTATCATCCATTAGAAGAAGTTATTACCGACTGCTAGAGCCGGGACAAGGGTGAGGCAAAAGTGAAGAAGCATTTGCCTGAGATGAACGGACAGGAGTTGCGCCAAATTAGCTGCGACGTTTTAGAAATACCTTTCCTTTTAACCTTTTAATTTTTTTAATTAAAAATTTTTAAATACCTTTCTTATAACAATCATTAAATATAAGAATCAATTAAATAAATTAACAATTATAAATTATGATAGTTAATTTCTAATTCTGAAAGGCATCGAGAAGCACCGTTTCAGAATAGATCATTTAAAGCAATAAAATGGGCGTTATATTCTTCAGCATTTGCGCACTCGCGTGCTTTCGTTAAATTATTAACCAATAATTATATTGTATTAAATTTATATTAAGTTCAAATTTATATAAAGCATCAAATAATGGATTATCTGCAGTGGGAAAACTAATTATCTCTGAGAAAAATCGATTCACCAATGTCGCATGCATCACTAGTGTCTTTAAACTGTTTCTACATTTTTGACATGACGCTTTTGGCTACTTTTAAGTCTTAATTAATCCAAGCCAGTATTTGTTCTGCTTCTATTATTTCAATCGCACGCGTTTAAGTTTTGGAGTTTTAGAGAAATGTTAAAATTAACTCTGTTTAGTTTCCATATTAATTTCTGAGCTATTGGGAATATAGCTATACGTATTAAATTAAAATTTATGATTGGTTGATTCAAGAATAAATCTGCTACATCTATTTTTATCTGTTAATGTTTTTATACGAATAGTGAAGAAAAAGATCTTTTATTCAAGTAATATGTATTTGCATTTTATTTCCATTTTACTTTGGTTCAAAAAATAAATTTAATCAACTCAAATAAACGTTTGAAGATTTAGTCAGCAATAATCAAATTTATGTTCTTATAATCATTAAATAAAATGAATCAAATAGAATTCGTATTTCCCTGCTATTATTATCAAAGTTTTGCGACATTTTGAGATGTTTTATGTCATTCTATATTAGGAAATATGTTCATCGTAAAGAATGTGTGTGCAGGAGTTCGTTGCTTATCTGAGAGATATGAAATAAAACACTCAAAATTACCAAAATCGTCGAAATGCGAAAGCCCTTGTTTGCAGACGCATTTTGGTCATTGAAAAAGAAAACAACTTACTATATTTCCTGCAAATGCACGAGAAATCTGTTTTATGCAAAGTAAAATAACATAAGTGGAAGCTTAGCTTTTGGCTTCCAAAACAAGAAGAAATAGGTCAAAAGAGTTTTACGCAGCAGATGCCTGAATTCTGCATGTAAAGAAAGTGCCAAGAGACCGTCCTAAGCGACAGTTAAAAAAAGTCACGGATATATATTTTTAATAAATACTTTTTGGAAAATACGGCTTTATTAATTCTTACTATTAGCTCACACTCTTCCTATATCTTGTTCAAATTTTCAATCGTTAATGAAATATTTTTTATTCATTCACTCAAGTTGACATTTTTTTAAACTTGTAGTGGATGACACTTGATGTTAATACAGTTTTTTCACATATTAAATTTTTTTTTGTGTTTAAAATTTCTTGTATTTTAAATTTTTTTTGTATTTGAAATTTTCTTTTTCTTTGTTGACCTAACTAGGAATTGACTTTTATTATTTTTTTATATTTCTTGTTGTGTAGATAAATATGCAGTAGACATCACATTAGTCTTTAATTTGAAGAAAGTTGATGCAAGTGCATTTTATGATGTTCTGAATTTGGAAAACCAAAAGCTGTTTTGACGCTACGGTGATAGAAGCACAAAAAGAATAAAGATATCCAGCATTGTGTTTGGAACTAAGTGTATAGTAATATTTCAAAAAAAAAAAAAAAAAAAAAAAAGAAACCATCGTATTGTTTTCTCCTTGTTGATCTGAATTTGCTTTGGCGATGGATTATTAAAAATGCTAAATTAATAGTCCGTCACAATTTGATAATCCGTCGGGTCTGCCACTCTTCTGCTTGGAACGAACTGCAGAATGTTTTACATCGCAAAGTTCTTCTTCTTTTAAATATGTGTTTTATTATTCATATCATATGGGAAAGTTTTTAATTTTAAAGACCCACTGAAAACTATCTTAAACTTTCCTCCATTTTAAAACAATATGTTTCTTTTCTTTTTAATCCAGAATCCAGAACTGACTGATGCAGGACTCTACAAATGCAACGTTAAGAATGTGGCAGGAGAAAGCAATGCTAATTTAACTCTAAATATTGAACGTAAGAAATTTTTTTATGTTATAATATGTTATATTATATCATACTTTAAAACATATGTTGATAATGAAATTTTAATTAATTTTTCTATGTGAAACAAATAATTTCTCTCATACTACGCGGCATTTTAAGATAAGACACTTGCTAGATTAAAATACTAAATAAAGTTACAGTCATCCATGCTGGAAGGCAGAGTAGCACGTATATAAGCTGCAGACAGCTGTAGCATAAAAGCCGATCACTGAAATTTGGAGACTCACTACATACCACTGTGAGTTATTAACTTTAATTTATTCGAAATTTCCTTCGATGGAATTTGCACACCCCTTTACGTGATCCTAAAGTGCATACAATGGTTTATGGCATGCATTAAATGAAACTATGATTAGAACTTTTGTCACAGTTTTCTAGATGGTGCTCGTATTATCAAAATAAAAGTTTTGAAATGTGTTAAACTCTATAAATTTACTGTGGGAACTGAGAAATCATCGTAAGTCCTTACAGGAATACTGTGTGTGTGTATTGAGAATACGGCAAAGCACACTAGGGCTATCTGCCTAAGGGGAGGGATGCCTTTCGTGGAGGACTTTCTAAGGGAAACTGGCTCGTATACACGTTACACATGGGGAAAACCACGAAAACGCTCATGCAGCCAGCCCGTTCGCGGGATTCGAACCTCGGACCGAACTACCAGTGTTCAGCGATTTTACCGTTCGGCCGCTGGTGGGCCCCTTACAGGAATAATCAAGATGTATCGAAAGGTATATATGCTTTTGTCCGGAACCGTCGAATGATGATGATAACTTTGAGACAAGACATAATACCTTCAAAAAAGAAACCAGCCCTCACTTTGTAGAGACATTAGGAATTTTTTGGCAGCAGGCAAGATGAAAACTTTGCAACTCTTTCGCCGGGAATCGAACCGCAGAACTCTCATTTACGATCTGGGTGTGCTGACCACTACACCACGAAGGCTCATTAAGAAAGCAGGAGAAATACCTTATATAATCCCCTTTTAAAAATGTTTGGGGATTTTAGGGGACCCAATCGCCAAATCTTGGGTGAGGAGAATCATCAATCAACACCTTTTAGTTCGGGCACCACTTGTAGAGACATTAGGAATTTTTTGGAAACAGGCAAGATGAAAAAGTAACAACGCCTTCGCCGGGAATCGAACCGCGGAGCTCTCAATTACGCGCTGAGCATGCAAACCACTACACCACCACGAAGGCTCACTAAGAAGGCGGGAGAAATACCTCATAACTTCTTGATATTATTTCTTCTCACGGTTTTTCTCAGACACATTTATATCTGAGCAGGAAATTTAACGAAAAGCAAGAATAACATTTACCTGTTGTACACGAATTCTTTGTACACAATTTCGTTTACTATTGTTGACGACAAAAGGCATTACTTTGACGGTCAAATCATTATGGTTTTCAGAGATTTTGCCAGTTTTTCACTTGGTACGTGTACGTTTATTTCAGGATTGTACCAGAATACTCACATCTCCTCATCTCAATGTTATTTGTGAAAACTGGTGTTGTCTGAATGACAAAAATCACGCGTTAGATGAGGTAATGCGATATTTGCTTAGTTGGATTATATTCACGCTTAAAAGTTGGATTCTATTCACGTTGAGATATAATTTTGACATATGGAATTCATGAAGAAGTTCGTTCTCATTTTCAGTTTTTAATTCATTGTTTGTAACATTATCTTTCATCTCATGCACTCTTGTTTTCAATTTTTTTAAAGTTTAATGATGTTGGATTGATTCTTAAAAATTATCCTCCGATTCGTTTGAAGAACTCTTATTTTTGTTCTGTAAAGTTGTATAATACCAATAAACTCTTTCTTTTAGTGGCTCCGGTAATTCGTGAGAAGCCGAAAGTCATCCGCCGGGAAAGGGAGGAAAAGGTGGTGATCGAATGTCACGTGAAATCAAGCGCTCCACCTGAGTGTATTTGGTTCAAGGAGAACAGCGTGGTGCGTATGGACGCCAAGCACAAAGTGCAAGTGAAAAAAATAGAAAAAGGCGAATATGCTGTTTTGCTGGAGATTGAGAAACCTTCAGCTGTGGACAAGGGCCTGTATAAATTACAAGCTAAGAATGAGAAGGGTATCATCGCATCTGAACCCATCAAAGTCACTTTAGAAGGTGAGTTTTTGCCCACCCTTGCAGCTTTGCTTTTATAGTTCTAAAAAAATATACCCAGGGAATGTTAAGGAAAATCTAGCCTCAAATAATTATCGGGGAAAGTTGACTTTGTGTAGCTACAGTTCTGGAAGCTTCTGAGATCATACTGATGAGAATAACAATTTTCTTTCAGAGTAGGGAGATGGAAGAGGTATTTGTAACGGTTAAGGAAGCCAACAAGCAAGACCTAGATTTTCATTTCTAAGCTAAATTCTTCTCTCCACACAGAAGTGGGAAACGAAGTAAGTTGCAAGTAAATAAAGGCTTCCCATAATTTAATTATGTAAAACCATGTACAGAGTTACATTTACGAAAATTTAAAATGCATTTTTTTTTACAACGGACAGAAGCCCCGCGTCCGTTTTCGTCCCGTTCGGCTCCCAGTTTCCTCTCAATTCCGAATAATTTCCTCTCAACTCAATTTGCGAGGTCTTGGCTAAGTGGGAAGCCTTTATTTACTTGCAACTTACTTCGTTTCCCACTTCTGTGTGGAGAGAAGAAATTTTGGCTCAAATGTGCACGATTTTCCCTTTTGGGTAATCTTCCACCGGGTAAAGGGACACCAAACCCTGCCCGACACCCATGATGGAGAAAACAAGTCCGCCCCTTCCGGCAATGGCGAGAAGAGGTCTCTCTTCTTTCCGAGGCCGGCACAAAGACTACACAAAGCTCTCATCAGTCCAAAAACTTATGATATTGAAGACAAGTTTTCCATGCATAGTAAAACTAAGCCAGGGGAGTTCTCTTCCTGTCCCCACGTTCCTTGAGAAAAGGGGCGTTATAGCACAGATATTAGTTTTTGTTAAATTTGTAAGCAATATCTCAATCCTCAGAAATTTTAATCGTAACGATGCGTTAATGCAAGCAAAATGTTCCTCTAAAATATTTTAGCAGAAAATATTTGCATATTGAATAAATTTGTAGAGACATTAAAATTTTTTAGAAGCAGGAGAGATGAAAAATTAGCAACGCCTTCTTCGGGAATTGAACCACGAACCTCTGGAATACCGGCCCAACGTGCAGAACCACTACACCACGAAAGCACGCTAGGAAAACTGGAGAAATACCTTATATACTCCCTTTTTTAAGGGGCGAAGGCGTTTTTTTTAGGTGACCCAGTCGCCAAATCCTGGATATGGAGAATCCTCTTCCAACACCCTTTTATTTCGGGCGCCACTGTAGAGACATTAAGATTTTTCGGAAGCGGGAAAGATGAAAACTTAGCAAACGCCTTCGCCGAGAATCGAACCACGGACCTCTGGAATACCGACCCAGAGTGCAGAACGACTACACCACGAAGGCACGCTAGGAAGGCGGGAGAAATACCTTATATACTCCCCTTTTTGAAGGGCGACTGGGGTTTTTAGGGGAATCAAATGCCAAATCCTGGGTGTGGAGAGTCATCATCCACAACCCTTTTAGTTCGGGCGCCACTGTAGAGACATTAAGATTTTTTAGAAGCAGGAGAGATGAAAAATTAGCAACGCCTTCGCCGGGAATCGAACCACTGAACCTCTGGAATATCGGCCCAGCACTACACCACGAAGGCACGCTAGGAAAGCGGGAGAAATACCTTATAAATTAATCCTAAAAATTCATATTTATTCAATTTATAGAAAACTTTTTTAACTCGAATTTTGACTTCGGAACGAAGTCTACTAATAAGATTCTTTTATTTAATTCTAATGGTCGTTAGTTTGCTATAATAACATCGTGGGAAAAATCCCATTAGTAAGAATTTTAATTGTGATTTTTGAGAATTTTTATTTGAAATGTTAACAGTTTATATGTCTAATTTTATTCATTTTTATTTAAATACTCCCCAAATTGATGCAAAGAGAACTACGGACTGAAATACTTCCAGTCACATAGACTTTAAAAATCTTCAGCTAGCTAATGAAAAGTTACAAATTCAAATATTTTTTGAAAACTGTGCGCAACAAAATATGACAGAGACAGATGATTTTTAGGCAGATATCAAAAGTTACAAATTCAAATATTTTTTGAAAACTGTGCGCAACAAAATATGACAGAGACAGATGATTTTTAGGCAGATACGATTCTTATAATCTGCATACATTTTTTTATGCAGAATTCAATGAAAAAAGCAATTCATATCTTAATATGGCGCACAAGAAAGTTTAATCGCGGTAGGTTTCTTCTAATTCTGAAATTTACACGAATATAGTGAGAGTTACAAAACTTTTTCAATCTTGTCTTTGTCCAAAAATTCTTTTGTGAGATCCATTTCTATTTTTCTTTCTTTTGTGAGGTAAAGCTTGGTCGCTTTTAGTCAAATCTCAATCTAGTTTTACGTTCATTCCACCGACAACAAATAAGCCTAACTTCAAGATTTTATATTAAATTTCCGTTTACTAAATCCAGGTAGATTATCTTTTCTGCCTATCGGAAGAACTGCAGTGATTGTGTAATTGCCAAAACCTGCATTTAGCATTCAGAAACAAAATAGAAAGTTCCTATTTCTCAGCGGACGTGGGCTTTATAAAATACTATCTTTAATTGTAAGAATAAAGATCTGACATCATAAAAATCAATAATATAAAAGGAATTTTTCTAGCTTTCCAATTTTCAACCAAAAAGACCTGATCATGTTCTAAATGAGTAATGCAACTGCGACAGGGCCGAAGAAATTGCTGACAGTATTGTTATCGCTTCTTTTCGACATACTGAACAGAAAAAGGCTCTCTAAGTCACTTTCACCACACATTATATTGATATATTCTGTACCTCAGAAATTTATTTTTAACTTAGATTTTTTATTTTGTTAAAATTTTGTGTTCATATTGAACTTTTAATTATTTTATTTGATTTACTTTTGTAATGGCATTTTATTTTGGTTTGTTATTTTAATGCCATAAGCAACCTTTCTAAGCCTCCTTGTATACTTTACGCTAAACGAGGTAAATTGTTTCCATAAATAGCAATCAACAGTCTCTTTGTATTCATGTAAGCCTATGGATTAGATTTTTATAATAAAAGTTGCAATCCATTGTGAATGTGGATATGAATGCCTGTTTGCTCTTTATCCTTCATTCTCTTTACCTTATAACCTTTCATATTTCGCTATAGGCTATCTATAGACTATTTAACTCACAGTTAGACCAGACATCAATCAGTGACACAGAGGATAATAATTTTTTGTTCAGTTTGTAGAGACATTAGGATTTTTTGGAAGCAGGAGACTTGAAAATTGAGCAATGTACTCGCCGGGAATCCAGTCACGCACCTCTCGAATATGCGCCGAGCGTGCAGACCACTACACCACGAAGGCACGCTAAGAAGGTGGGAGAAATACCTTGTAAGTTTCTGAGGAGTTACGATGAAGTCTTAACAGTTTAAATCGCTGAGTTTATTAATCAAAAATTCATTAAATTCGTATTGAATTTGAAATAAATGAAAACAATTCGAAATTCAGGCTTTAAAGTGCACACCTGTGATTATAATTGAGTGGAAGACAATTTATGTTCAAAATTCCGTGGCTGTAGGTGCCGCCGTTTGTCGGCAGTGCGGAGAATAAACATGCTTACGTACTACTTATGATTCTTCGTTATTTAATAACGGAGATAATCATGCTTGCGCTTTGTTTTAGTTCTTTTAGGCGCAGCAAAGGTTGATATTCCATTTGATAAAGTAATTACCTAAAATGAGATTTGCTTAGTAATTCGGCTCAGATATGCTCAAAAGGGGTATCTTAATCGTGTCGTAATGCTGTTCTCTTCTTTTGCATTTTATTTGCATAGTTTGGCGTATTAATGATTTGTTTTAGAAAACTATGAAAGCAAAGGACAGAAGCAAATTAAAAATTTAATTAATTAATAAAATTTGAAACAAAATCTAATATTTTTTTGCCCCTGTAACTGCAATTGATCTTAAAATAATCGTATGAATTGTGCAATTCTTGTGAAAAGCTTGGTTATTTGTATATTTGGTTTCTGATAAACTGCATGCTTCTCTTTAAGATGAACCAAAGGAGGAAGAAGAAGAAGACAAAAAGAAAAAGAAAAAAGTCCCAGAAAAAAAAGATGAACAAAAGGAAAATAAAACTTTAGAGAAAAAAGAAGAACAAAAAGAGACAACTAAAAAAGTTCTGGAGAAGAAAGAAGAGCAAAAGGAAACTGCGAAGAAAGTTGCAGAAAAGGAAGAAGAACAAACCGCAAAGAAAATATTGGAAAAGAAGGAAGAAGAGAAAAAAGTAGCAGAGAAGAAAGAAGAGCAAAAGGAAACTGCGAAGAAAGTTGCAGAAAAGAAAGAAGAACAAACCGCAAAGAAAATATTGGAAAAGAAGGAAGAAGAGAAAAAAGTAGCAGAGAAGAAAGAAGAGCAAATAAAAGTAGCAGAAAAGAAAGAAGAACGAAAAGAAGTGAAAAGCGTCACAGAAAAGAAAGAGGAGCAAAAAGAAGTGAAGAAAACTCTTGAAAAAAAAGAGGAGAAGAAGGAAATAAAGAAGACCCTAGACAAAAAAGAAGAACAAAAAGAAATGGAAACGAAGAAAACTGCAGAAAAGAAAGAGGAACAAAAAGAAATAAAGAAAACTGAGCTGGATAGGAAAACAATTGATAAAAAAGAGGACGTAAGCAAAAAGGTAACTGATCAGAAAGAAGTCACTAAGAAAGATCAGATTGCTGCTAAAACTGAAGCTGAGAAAAAAGAAGTAGAAAAGAAAGCAGCTGAAAAAGTTGGAATCGAAAAGAAAGAACTGAAGGAGGTCTCCAAAACTGAACAGAGAGTCACAGATGAAACTAAGAAAGTGACTGATAAAAAGGAAGTTCAGAAGAAAGATATCACCGATCGTAAGGAATCAATCAGTACCGATCGTAAAGATTCAGTTAAAGATGAACCGGAGACGAAGACTCCGTTTAAACGACAGTTGCGAAAAATACCTCCTCCAAAACAAGAACCTCCACAGGATGAACTTGGAAAAATTGTTCTCAAGTAAGTGAAGAATTGCTTGGTTTAAAGTGCTTATTGATTAAGCTTCTGTTTTAGGTTATTACAATTTAAACTACATCAGTAAAAACTAGCCTGAAACCACTGTAAAAGGTAAAAGCTATTTACGTCTACCAATGCATATGCTGAAAATTTATTTCAGCTGAAAAATATCAATCTCAAAAAGAAATTATTTAAAATATTATTATTAAAGAAGAACACTATAGTAAAAAATGACCATTAAATTTTATATTTTTATAGTTTTGTACAGTTTCTTAAGGCAGAAAGATCAATGAGCATCCCTATATACAATATATTAAATATGAAAACTTTGATTTCATATGGAGTAGTTTGGCTCTCTTCCTAGGACAATGGCCTAGGACTGGTTTAACTCACCTATTTTGGCACTAAAATATTAAATTTAGTGATTTATTAACATTAGTCCGAGTTTATCAGTTGAAATTCGAGCTATAGCTAAAAAGTGTTGCTTTGCAAGTTCGGTACTGGTTCTGAGAGGTTTAAAAATATTTGCTAGTGAGATGTCTCTTCTGAAAATGTTTCCTTATTCTTTCACACGAACCTGTTAGTATCATTAGTTTTTCACAATGTAATTATCTTTAATATCATTGAGCATACTTTTGCCCAAATTTGGTAAAATCATGAATTTGCCTTTTTGCTAAATATTTTATTTATTGGCATTTGGCATCTCGACATTTAGGATTTTAGAATACATCTTACACTATTAAATTAGTATTATCATTTGCTACATAAAAGCAATAAGATGTATACGCCAGAGCTTCGAAATTTAGATTTAAAAATTTAAATTTAGTCCTTTGCAACGAAGTTATAATTCTCTGTACATAAAGATGTAATTTAAGTAGTAAACATTAGTAACTACATTACATTAGATTAATTACACAATATTAATTACAACTATTATATTTTTCAGGAAGCGTACTGGTGTGAAACCGAAATTTACCAAAACTTTCGAATCATTGGTATGAAGTCTATTTTATTTTATAAATATCCCTTTTACTGTATATTAATTACATTAAATTTCTTCAATAGAAACTTTCTCAATAGAAATTAGTTATATTTTTTCGTTTGTAGTATTTGAGTTTAATATTTCGTATGTTTGTTCTGTAGACAGTGGATGTGGGAAAATCCGCCGAGTTTGTATGCGAAATCGAGTCCAAGGAGAAGGCGACTGTGACTTGGTACAAGTAAGTGTAACAGCATAAAATAAAATTCACCCATTTTTTTAATGATTTTTATATACCAATATTTTTTACACCAATTTACAAGTAAAACCGATTTACTTGTAAATTGGTTCAAAATTACTTTGTACTAAATTGAATTATATTTAGATAATTGCTTATAGGATATAGATAATTCACTTGTTTTCTCAAGCCTTTCAACCGCCCTTTTGATCGGTGTGAAATTAAATTCATAAGAAATTTTGCTCTTCGTTATAGTACGTCATTAATAGATCATCTAACATCAAAAGCATAAACAGGTGCTGCAGTGAAATTTCGACCGATCACAATCTCCATTAAGAGACACTTGCAGAAACATAAGTAAAATATTTTTTCCTCCTTATCGCGTGTCTTCATGGTATAACTGGATGTACCTTTGGCTGGCAATGAGAAGGTCGGTAGTTGAATCCCGGAGGCATATTTCGTAAAAGCACATCTGTATCGCCACCAAGGGAGTAGCTTCTAAAATGGGCCAATGGGTTTCCAGAAATATTTCTGCCATTTAGCATGACCTTTGACGCGCTTTAAGGAAGATGGTTCAAAATGCTTTGCCACGCAAATTCCTGTACAAAATAATTAAAGCAACATGGATTTCCAGTGAAAATTTCCAGTACAAAGTTAGATCAAATATAAGCATAATTATATATGTAAACAGTAGAAGTTTTAGCATTTTTTATTGCAGTCTATATGAAAAAGATGTTCTATAAAAATAATGGCCAATGTAAATGTAGATGTTCTATAATAAAAACTGGCCCGTCAGCTGTTCGGCATTCGGCGAGTATGTAGTTTAAGTTTGAAAAACTACTACATAAATACTGTTTCGGCCACCAGATCGTCTGCCTGTCTGCGAAATCTTATTTCGCATCACGCATGGCATGCGTAGCTCGCAATTATTATTATTTTTTTTTTCATTCTTGTAAACTCTAACTGTAACTTTCAAGCTTTGCTTTTCGATGTGTTGTATTCTGAAGTTGAAACCGCTGAATAAAAAAGGTGAAATACAGTCCGCACGCAAATGTTTTATTCTTATTATTTATTAATTTAAATTTAAGATACCGCGACGCAACATAAATTTTGTTCCGCCATACGCCGGAGATTCGAGAAAAAGGCACCCTTGTGAATAAGAATTCGGGTGAAGTGCAGACTCGCTCACTTATTTGGCGCTTTTTTACAAGAGTAAAAAAAAAATTGGATTTTTTTTTTCAATTTCCTTTGACTTTTTAAGTGAAAATAGATCGATGTGTATGTGGACAAAGTCAAGAGAGTGCGCATTGCCGAGTTTGTGCAATTCTCTGATGTTTTTTATAGTGAAAATAGGTGGATGTGTACATAGATACCGACTTTGTGCAATTCTTAAAAATGCGCCAAGCAGTGGGTGATTCTGCACTTCTACGTCTTCATAATGTTGTTGATTTCGGTATAGAATTCTTAAGAGTTGCGCAATAAATACAGTGTACGAGGTGAAAGAAACTTTTAAAGCATTTTATTGCATTCTACATTTCTTTATCGCTTCTTTATTCTAACTAAAGTATTAGTAAAATCGAGAATTAGAATATTTTCAAAATGTCAGATAAAGAAAAAAAAAAAAAAATGAGAATTTTAAAAACACAGTTAACGAAATTCATAGAGAAAATAGATTATGATAGCTTAGATAATCCTGAAGCTGAATTAATGTTAGAAAAATGTAAAATATTTATGGAAGATTTCAAATCTCTGTTTAACGAAATTTATGCAAATTGTGATAATAATAATATAGACATTTTCGTTGAAGAAGAACAGTCAATTTTAGAGGAAATGGAGGAGGTTCAGTTAAAAATTATTTGAAAGACAAGGTCGTAAATGCAAATGGCGACAAACCTGTCGCACCTGATTCAATCGGTGAAAGTTTAAAGTTACTAAAATTAACTTTACCTACATTTAGCGGAAATTTAACAGAACGGATAACATTTAAAGATTTATTTAACGCTAGTGTTCGAAACAATCTAAATCTATCTGTAGCTCTAAAATTACAATATTTAAAGGGTTCTTTGAAAAATGATACTTATCGCATTATTCAGTCGGAATTCACTAGAAGAGAAATTTTCTAATAAGAGATTCGATATTTGCTTAGATTAAAGGAATTCTTAACGTTTCACAAATACAAACGGAATCTGCATCTTTGATATTAAATTTAGTGGATAATGTAAACGAAATAACTCGCTCGTTGGAAATATTAGATCGAAACGTAGATAATTTTAGTGAAACTATGTTTGATGTATATTATTTTGCAAAAACTTGTTGTTTCCACAAAGCTGTGGTGGGAGCGTCAATTAAAAAAAAAAAAAAAGAAAAAAGAAGAAGAAAGAAAGAAATACCAAAATTGAATTTCTTGATAGAATTTTTGAAGAATTACACTAGAACATTACAGAGCAGTAAACCTTTAATAAGTAAAGCACACAAATTAATTAATAAGTAAACACATAAATCAGATAAACCAGTGTATAATAGGGTTACTTTTCCATTACTGATTCTACTTGCTTATTTGGTAAAAAAATCATTTTTACACAAGTGTTCTAATTTTTTAAACTTACCAGTGCAAAAACGAATAGTTTGTTAAGACTAATAAACTTTGTTTTAATTGCTTGTCTCATGTCCATAAAGTTAAAATGTGTAAGAGTGAAAATACTTGTAAACATTGTTTTAAGCATTATCATAGCATTTTACACCTAGAAAATAATATAAAACCAAAAAAATTGCATCTAATTTCCCTTCACTAAAAGCACAAGTATTTGTTCCGAAATCGAATACAAAGTTAGAACACAGCTTGAGTGAGGTTTCTCCAACTGTTTGTGCAAACAACTATCAAAATCACCATTTTGGAGCTCGTGCTAATGGTAAACACATTCGGTATTCATGTACAGATCGATCTATTTTCACTTTAAAAAATCATCAGAGAATTGCACAAACTCGGCAATGCGCACTCCCTTTGTACATATACACATCGATTTATTTTCACTTAAAAAGTTAAAGGAAATTGACAAAAATCCAATTCTTCTTGTAAAAAGCGCCAAACAAAACGCGCCTAATAAGTGGACTTATAACGGCGCGCCACACACACACATTATTCCCTAGCGCGCCTTTTTCTGGAATCTCCGGCGTATGACGGAACAAATTTTATGTTGCGTGGCGCTATCTTAATTAATTTAAATTAATAAATAATAAGAATAAAACATTTGCGAGCGGACTGTATTTCACCTTTTTTATTCAGCGGTTTCAACTTCAGAACACAGCAAAAAGCAAAGCGTGAAAGTTAGAGTTTACAAGAATGGGGAAAAAAAAAAAAAAAAAAAAAAAAATGCGAGCTGCGCATGCGATGCGAAATAAGATCTCGCAGGCAGGCAGACGATCTGGTGGTCGAAACAATATTTACTATGTAGTGGTTTCAAACTCAAACTGCATACTCGCCGAATGCCGAAGAACTGACGGGCCAGGTTTTTATTTTTATACACAGCAAAATATTTTATAAAGACAATAAAAAATATTTAAAATAAATTTAAAATTTCGCTTACTAAATATTTAAACAGTAATAATATTATGTTTCTTTTCTGATACGAGCAGTGTATATGGTGTGTTTTATTTGTAGTATCAGCTTTACTATGTCAGTGTGTTGTTCAGTATTCTAGTAATATATTGCATAATATGTTTTTTTAGTAATGTGTGGAATTATAGTAAGGGCATAATTGTATAATAATAAGTCAGTGTGATGTATAACTGCAGGCTTGAAATTCCATTGTTAGTCTTGAATTTTACTGTTTTTGTTTTACCCTTACCACTTTTGATCAATCCAGCTTTGTACTTCTAAGTATTTTTTTTAAATTTATGCAGTCAAAAGAATGTCATATGTACTCAAGGTAGTCCTTTGTATTCCGGCCCACCAGCAACCGAGCGGTAAAGTCGCTGAACACTGGTAGTTCGGTCCGAGGTTCAAATCCCGCGAACGGGCTGGCTGCATGGGCGTTTTCGTGGTTTCCCCCATGTGTAACGTGTATACGAGCCAGTTTCCCTTAGAAAGTCCTCCACGAAGGCATCCCTCCCCTTAGGCAGATAGCCCTAGTGTGCTTTGAGATAATTAAATACACCACACCTTTGTATTCTCTATCTAGATGCGACTCTGTAAGCTTTTTTGTTTTTAAATTTAGACTTAATAAAATGCCGTTATGGCTTCTGCAGGGCAGACATCATACTGCAAGGGCTTGTTCCCGGTCAGCAGTCCTCCTTAGCAGTGTAAAAAAAAAAAAAAAAAAGTAGTAATATTATCGCAGAGGAAAAAACTTCATATCTTTATTAATTTTCTACGCGAAATCTAAGTTTGGTAAATGGAAGATATTTTTGTTGGTTACACTTTGTAATTCAAATATACTAACAGTTTATTATTAAATTCTTAAGCTGACATTTCTTTCAAATAATTCTAAAATATTTAATTCATTATTAAATAACTTAATTTGTTTTAAACTAAAAATAAACAAATTATGTAGATTTGCTAAGTTTTTAGAGAACGTTTATTAAGTGGGATAAAACTTGAGCATAAATAATAGAAACTTACTCTGTCTTATTTATTGATTTTTTTTTCGACGCATAAATAAAAATACGTGAATTTGTACGTAAATAATTATAAACTTCTTTATTTCTTAGTACAGCTTGACTATTCATGGCATTTGGATTCTGACAAAAAGTCATTACTAGAATTTATCGAAGAGAGAGAAATTATTAGAAATTTTCTTCACTATGGATTGTAGATGCTCATCGGTTAATCTGGTTCTTTTAGCATTAATTTTCAACTGTGTAAAAAGCTGTTCACATATAATTGTACTCTCAAACAAAAGATTACTTTTAGTGAAAAAGATCGTAACTGTGATTATTTAATTTTTGATAAGTAAGAATAAATTTATATCTTCAAATCTTTGAAGAAGTTTTATATCACACTGTAAATTAATTAACTCTATTTATTATTGATTTTCTGGTGCTTTATTCATGTTCGTTTTTAATGGAAATAAAAGTAATGTGAACTCGAACTTCATATATCTAAAATCCTGAAATCTTTACAATACCATAATTGAAATATCTTTGCTGGCTTCTTTAAATTTTTTCAGGAGTCGCATGCGGCTTGGCAGTTTGAGACAACTGCCTTACACTATCCTCTTACCCTTCTCTTAAACTAATTTTTTTTCTTCACCAGAAATAAAAAAGTGATCGACGAACCACGAGATTACAAAATTTCTTTCGACGGAAAGACTGCTTCCATTTACATGCAAAGAACAACTAGGGACTTCAGCGGCGTATACACGTGCGAAGCCTCCAACCAGTTCGGCAAAGAAGAAACATCTGCCACTCTTTTCGTCAAAGGTGAGTAAATGTCAATTTTCTCTTCTACTTTTTAGTTCTGACCTGTGTTTCACTTATCTGCTTCACTTATCAGTAAGTTTCATTTATCTGACGATTACCTCGTGGAATGTACACATTGACTTAGTATTCTAATGTGGCAGTAGCGCTCTAGAGGAACAATAATATGAGTCTGGCGGCTCCAAAACCCTCAGGGAAGATCGTACAATACGGCTGCACCAAGGGAGGATTGCAGCAAGTACCGTAGCTGGTAGTATCGGTAGTGGTTCATGGCTTGCCGTTCGAACCCTATTCTGTGTAATTCCATCAGTTTGGCGCCGCCACGCTGTATTGACGGGGCATTAATTAACGATCCTTTAGATCGTCAGATATTTACTTAGATTAAAGAACACAACACAGAAACAACACAGCAAAAACCAAAGCGGGAAAGTTACAGTTAAATTTACAATTAAATTTTGCAGCCACGGCTCTCCATAGACCGTTTGGAACGTGTATAACCTCTTCGTCATCAGGGAGGTGGCGTAGTTATATATGTAAGACGTTTCTTGAACTTCTGACTAATACGCACGGACAATTCAAAAGGTTATGAGGCAGTTAAAGTATGTGTTACTCTCCCTAAATATGGAAAAATTATTTTTTGTGCAATCTATAACCCACCTGATAATCGTTTAAAGGACTCTGACTGAAACGATTTATTCTACAATCAGCATCCTACTTTTATTGGTGGAGATTTCAGTACCAAGCATGTGAAATGAGGTGTCGACATACGGCAATGGTAAAATCATTCACGATTACGTTCTTAATAACCCATTTATCTGCATATTCCTGACAACAACACTTACAGGCCGAACGTTATAAATCGCAGGCACGACAGCTTGGACTTTTTTCTCAGCAGCATAAACATCGCGATATTGCTTGATGTGATCCAAGACCTATCATACGATCACATGCCAGTGATCGCCCAATTAGGAGTAAACGTCCCCAAGGATCCTCTTGTGACGGAAACCACGGTTTGGAACCTTTTCTGGAATCTCGCCTTTACCTCTTCCCCAACATCTCTCTTCTTAGTACTAATGAAGACATCGATGAAGCAATTAATCGCCTTACTAGCAATTTTCTTGGAAATTCTGCTACCACATGTAACACGGATCACTATCATGGTCAGCTCCCCCTGTACATCAAGAATGTTATTAAAGAACGCAACAGGCTCAGGAAAAATTTTAATCACACCTGGAATGCAGATGTGAAGACCAAAATCGATCAGCTTAATCGCAAATTTAAACATCTTATCAGCGAACATAGATCAAATCTCTGGAAGAACAAGATTGACCAACTCAGTTTAGAAGATGGTTCTTTTTGGCGTTATGTTCGTACGCTGAAAACGAACAGGCCCCATTCCCAACTAATGAGGAGCGAGCATTCTACTGTCTACACTGACGACGAGAAAGCTAAAGTTTTTTTCTGATCTTCTCCAAAATCAATTTAGACCAAATAATTTCCCCACAAATCCTACATCTAATCAAGAAATTACGAAATTTGTCAACGAATGGATCTTCTCTCGCTCCCCCAAAAATATCATGAAGTTCACTTCTCATGTTGAAATTAAGGACATTATCAAGCACTCTCCTTCTCGTAAAGATGGCATCACCAATTAAATGCTTAAGCATCTTCCTCATAAGTACATCACTACATTATGCAACAGTTTCAATGCCTGTATTTGGAACTGCTACTTTCCCATTCCATGGAAGCATGCATCCCTTTTCATGATTCCAAAACCTCTCAAATCTCCGGATTCTCCTACTAGCAATTGTCTCATCAGTCTCCTTTCTACATTGGCAAAATTTCTTGAAAGAATTATCTATCACAGACTTCAACAGTACTTGCATGCCATCAGAGATGTCCAAATACGGCTTCCGTAATGGACTCTCAAATACGAAGCAGTTAACTAGCATTTGTGAATTTGTGGGTGTCTCTTTGCACAACAAGCTCAGTGTTGCGGTCCTAATGCTAGATGCGGTTAAAGCTTTTGACCGCGTCTGGCATGAAGGGACTCATCTACAAGCTTATTAGAATGAACCTACTTCGCGAGCTGATCCTGATACTCAAGTCCTTTCTGGATAACATGACTTTTATCGTACGACACAGCAACTCCTATTCCTCTCCCAAGGTAATCTCAGCGGAAATTCTACAAGAAAGCATTTTAGGACTTATTTTGTATATTATCTACGCTAACGACTTCCCCATTTTACAAGATGACCACAATATGCTTCTTGCCTGTTACGCCGATGATACGGTGATTCTCGCCATAGCTAGGCTCCCTAATTATGCCATCTCACTGATTCAGAACAAGATCCTCACCATTCAAAACTGGTGTCGTAAGTGGAAGAATAACATAAATTCAGCCAAATCTGAAGTGCTTCTCATCAGGAAATTCAAAAGATGTGACCCCATCACGTCCCGGATCACTCTCTTCAATACCGATATCCTGATGGTGCGCACAGCCAAATATCTGGGTGTTCCACTGAACTCTACCTTTATATGGTCAAACCCTATCAAGAACGTTAAAGGAAAAACACTACAAATCATGTTCAAGCTTAATTCCCTCCTTTCGAGCACCATAAGACTCAGTCTACAAAGGAAAAGAAGAATTTACACATCCGTCGTCCGTCCTATATTTTCCTACACTTCTCCCGCCTGGGCCCATGCCATAGCTAATGACATCAAATATCTTCAAGCTATTCAAAATAAATTTCTCCGCTTCATTACTGGAGCCCATTCTTTGCCAGAAACACTTCTCTGCACAGGGACGTAAAAATTGAATACGTTCAAGATTACCTTAAGAAACTGAACGACGCATTTTTCAGCAAATCTGCAGCTTGCCCTGTAGCAAATTTCTCGGAGCACCTTAACTATGAGATTCTTATGGACGATCTTCTTATCAGGCCTATCAGAATCCAAAATTACTAGTTGGCTACAGTGGTTTATTAACTCTATTGAACTTCTACGAGGTAATGTTAGAAAATGTATAGCCGATCGGTTATGTCATGGGCTTTTCACCACAGTCTTGAATGTCGAGAGTTCTGTCCCAGACGGTTTTCGTAAGTTACGTTTCCCGTTGTTCTATTTAAATAGGCTGTTTTCTACTAGTACAGTATTTGGATAAATGTTTGCATCTATTCTTATATTTTAGTAGTGTATTTTAATTTTCTGCGTATTTTTAACTGCCTCTGGCCTACTGTACTCCTTGTGCTGAATTCCCACCAGTATGGACTTATTTTATTTACTCTGCCTCTGACCTACTGTACTCCTTGTGCTGAATTCCCACCAGTATGGACTTATTTTATTTACTCTGCCTCAGATAGGAACACTTGCATATTTTTTTAACACAATCTCATTTTGGAAATTAAAATTATTTGCGATACTGCTGTTGAATTGAATTTTATGGTTTCAGTTCGAAGAACATAATATTTAATAAATAAAGGTAACACACAAAACGTTAAAAAAACGCCCCTTTGGACGTAATTTAAAATCTGAAACCTTTCAGATTTTTTTAAAATTTATTTTTATTTATTTTATTTTTTTTTTCAGAACCGGGAATGAAAATGCCCGAAATAAAAGAAATCGAACGCTCGAAAGCTACTCCTTTGGAACCTATGGTACGTAAAACGACAAGATAATGTGGTGTAGTAAATTTATGTTTTACTACTGCAGCTATTGTATAAAAATAAATATCAGCCATACTAATACACAGTAATACACAGTGTTAATATTCTTGTCTTAACATCTCAGATATAAGTTATCTATTTTTGTTTTCGTTTTCAGTAAAATCAGCAGTCCTCAAAGAGAAACTGCGGGGAATTTTCTTTTCATTTACATGCTAGCTGACTTGTATCTACTGTAAAATAAAATCCGTAATCAATACAAAGCGCGATCCGTATTCCAACATAATGTACATTCTCGTGAAAAACCACTACTAAAAGTGTTTTAAATGTTTTATTGTCCGCGGCATTTTGTCGATACAAATGCCGAAAATTTTATTTCATTTTTCCGGTGATGGAAATTCACAGTGAATAGAATTTGATAGCTGTACAAATGTGTTTATCCCAACGCATTCTTGAAAATGGGGCTTGAAGTGATTGCGCGAATTCGGAGGACGTGATCCCGTAGAATAATCATTTTTTACGCTTGTGCAAACTGCTTTTTGTGGTCAAACACAGGTCACGTCGGTACTAGCTTGGAGGATACTGCATCAATGTAGTAAGCGTAGTAAGAAATATTATGTCGCATAGCTTGCAAAGGTACACTGCTGGCAATATAAAATGCGACACGAAGAAGGACAAGACATATCAAACCTAAATTTATTTCAGAGATTACACATAGTATCAATTTTAATTTTTGAAATACAGCCTTCTTTCAGGTCAGGAAGATGAGAAGTTCAGTAATGAGTGTTGCCTCTACGTTTATCAGTTTATTGCGGAACCCATTAAAATTCCACACCATGAAGCGAACTAAGTTTGCAATTTTTGGTATTCTTTTCTTGGGCTAGATGCTTGAAAAGCAGGGTAAATCCGGAATCCTGGATATGAGAGACGTAGCTTTTAAATTGATGTAAGATGGTTTTAGTTTCGCTAATCTCTTCAGGATTAAGTCCGCTGGCTTGAGAGTAGGATTTCTTAGTGACTATTCGATCTGCATAAGATTTTGGTTGAACGGGAGCTTTAGGCTTTGATAACTTTTCACATCTGCGAAAGTTCGCTGTGTGGCCAGTCAATTTGCAATTCGCGGACTTCGGAGGAGTATTTTTGTCGATTTTGCATAAGTATGACTATGTGAGTCACCCCATTTAACACATCTTGGTTCATGGTGACAATGTGTCTGAACGTGGTGAAACCCCTGGCAGTTGATTCACTCTGATGGTGCTGTAACCTTTTTGAGTTAAAGCTGTTAACGGCAATCTTTCCTTCCTTTACATACAAGTTATAAGGAACGCTGCAGTCACCTATCATGTGCGCTTGCGCTGAAATCGTAATCATTCGCATATTCCATCGGGGTATACAAATTATGCAAGTTTTATGCTGTTTGGATGCTTCCTTCATAATGTTGCATTTTTGATGGCCAGCAATTTATTTTGATATGCAACTCTACGATAGAAATCCTAAGAACAACATCGGTGCTACCAACTACATACAATCTACGATAAATAACGATGCCCAACACAATTTAGTTAAAGACTTGACCTTCAAATATGCGAGACAAGCAATTTCATATCACATCTAAGTATAGATCTTTGTCATGTTTTTTTTTCTCTGCAGTGATATACATCCCTATATAGCTAATAGAATTTGTATTCATCAAGAATTTGTATCACTGGAAATTACGTAACTAACTAATATGTGTTTCTTCGGGAAACGACATCCAGTCGGAAAATAAATCTGGTGTTGCTTCCTGAAAGAAATAGTCAAATATGTTTATTGTACTGGTTACTCTGTCCGTCCGGTATGTTTATTAACTTTAATTGGATATAAAAGTAATTAAGGAAATAAAATTTTCATATTTTTCGTAAATAAGTCTTGCAATAATAAGCATATTTTTATCATAAATAAACATCACTTCTCTCATATATTTTTTGTTACAATATCTAACAATGGTTCTCATAGCCTTTCTTCTTATTTAACCTCTTTTACTATATTTAATAAGTACATACTTTCGATGAAGCTTGGATATTTTATTATGTTATCGCATTATATCTTAAAAAGGTGTGGGGCCGTTTGTGTTTGCTAACAGTTATTTTCTTGTTGTAACCTTTAAAGTAATGCTGATATTTTAATTATGTGAAAATGCCTTCAATGCCACACATGTAAAATTTATAATTTATACGCATGGTGATCCTTTTTAAAATGATAACAAATGGTGAAAACATGTGTTCGGCATCAGGCTAAAATCACGAATTTATAAAATACTTTTTTCGAGAATAACACGTTTAAGAAGTTTATAGCTATCTACGTTTGAGAAACTGGAGCTATGTCCTTACCATTTTGCATTTGTCTAGTTTTAGAATGTGAAACTAATTTTGATACTTTTTTAAAAAGAAAACACGGATAAAATTTGAATTTTTTTCTGTGATTACTTTTATTTGAGAAACTTGAGTATCGATCACATATTCCACTTCTACGAATACTTAAAATTCAACTCGGGAAAACAGCTAACTAGCAAAACTAATTGCTGTATCAGTTTTCATAAAAGTCAGAATTATATCAACTTATAATACCTGGCTAGACGTATGCTTTCCCACAAAAGACTGTTTTCAAATGTTATTCTGACATATAAACTCTGGCATTTATCGTGATGTTTTGCTGAGTTTTGCAGATTTATGTAATTAATTCATTTGAAGTCAATAAACAATAAAATAACAATATTTTCATACATAAATGAAAGCATATTTTGAAGAGTTTAGAATTAAAGCGAACTAGAAATTAGTTTAGTAAGTTTCGAAAATAATTTAAAACTTTCGATAGATTTGAAATTGCCAGTATTAATTAAAGATTACGGAGAAGTACAAATGACTATATGTGTTGTAGGATTTTGATCACCAAGCTGCATATCTAATATAATTTGTATCACAGTATTTCGTTCAAAATTTAAAGAAAAGGTTTTATGCAAACAACCCAAATTCATGCTACTCCCTTTTAGCCGATTTTTGAGCAAGACGAACCTGAGAAAAAGAAAGCAGAAGTGAAAAAAGTTGTTAAGAAGAAGAAGAAAGTGCCTGGCAAAGCAGCGCCTGGTGAAGATGAGGAAGAGACACCAGAGAAGGAGAAACCTGAAGTCCCCGAAATCACAACCGAAGACCAGGACAAGAAAGGAGCCCGTCCTGCTCCTGTTACCATCGTCAAAGAAGCCACTCCTGAACCTCCGGCTCGCAAGAATTCTCTAGAACCTCCTTCTGGTGCTGGAAGCCGAAGAGGTTCAGCTAGTAACCTATTGAGCTTTACACCTCCTGGGGGTTCCAGAAGAGGGTCTATAACTCTGATTGCGGATGAGGTAAGTTATTCAGATACAGAAACTCCGTACATTTGTTCTGTAGTGTTTAGAACCCTTTTAGCACAGATTTATGCTCAACTGATCTCAGGCCATTTTTTATAGAAATATTCTAGTTAACAAAATTAATAAAAAATGAAGTTTTTTTTTTATTTGGGTTGGTAAAGGCTGAGCAGTTTAGTTAAAGGCTAGTACGCGATTTCATATTAAACCGTATTCTTATGTACCATTATCAATTAAAATTACATTTTTCATAGTTACTGTTAACTTTAATTGTTTGTATAGTTTATTTTTCAATTGGATTATCGAAAGAAATTGCTTCCTGTCTTTAGTTTCACTTAAATGCGTCATATTTGTTTCAAGCTATACTTGAACGCGTAATCTGGAAACGAATTTTAGAAGCTCTTGAAATAACGCAGTACAACATTTATTTTTAGAAATAATTTCAAGCTAATTCAAAATAATTCGTACACTAAAATATGAAAGAAATCTATGAAGAATAGTTTTAGGCTTAATATGCTTAGAAATCCCTTTTGAGGCCCAGAAAGCTGACAGAATTATTATTATTTTATTCACCTTAGGCAGATAGCCCTCGTGTGCTTTGCCATAATTAAATACATCAACTATTATTTTATTCATGTTTATTGATGTTTTGTAAACGAAAGTATTAGTAATAAACTTTTATCGCATAAACATATAAATCACAAAATAAGCAATTTATAATTATCTCTAAGAAAGAATGAATTAATGGAAAAAATTTTCCTTTATTCAAGACCATCTCTAAATTAACTTTCATATTATGAGTATAACCCCAGCCTTCTAAAACTCTTACAATTGATTTAGAATTAGCTCTGATTAATTACTACTGAGAATTAGTGTTACGTCACCCAAAGGAAAACTTTTGCATGAAGTTTGGGAGTCTCAGTCCAGAAGACCAAATCATCAGCTTATAGTAACACCGGATTTTTGTTTGGATTTAGTAACACCGGATTTTTGTTTGGATTTCAGTCATAAGATTATTTATGTATATGTTAAACAGAAGAAAACTGGTAACATCTCTCTGTGGCAGTCCAGTCCTAAGATTTTTATGTCTTGAAATACAATCTTCATAATGAACTCTGCAAGTTACTGGCTAAAAAACTTGAAAATAACGAAACATGTTAAACTCCAATAATGGAAAGTTAAATAGAAGAGTATCCTTACAAAGGTAAGTCATAAGCAGATCTGAGGTCAATGAAAACTGCAGAAAGGATATGTTTATTTTATCTAGTACATCCTTTACTGTTTGGCTAAGAAATTTAACATGCTGGCCAGTTGACCTATATTGTGTAAAACCAGCCTATACTTTGGCTATAAATTGAGAATTCTCGACATGCCAATTTAGCCTTTTTAAAATTATCCTGCCCGTAGTTTTATATAAAATATTCATGAGCGAAATTGGTCTGTATCCCTTTATGTCCGTTTCGTGGGGTTTTTTTCGGATAAGGATTAAAATTGATTTACGCCATGCTGAAGTGATGCAGGCAGTATCCCACACAGTATTGAAAAACTTCGGAATAGTATGAGTTGCTTTTGTACCTAAATTCATACGAAATTCAGCATACATTGCATCTTCGAGTTCATACCTAGTGATTAAAGAACTACAAAAGGGAAAGGAATTTTGCTCTTGTGAAGAACAATTTTGAACGAATCTTAACTAATTTTATCTACTTTCTATAGTAATCAGATTTATGTTGTCTGTTGGAGAAATGTTACACAAATGCGTTCGTTGTTAATTCACTTGAAGTAGCAGACATTGCATTCACTAAGAAGAGTATTTTAACCGGTCTAGAATTTTCTTTTTTTATTTTTGCAAGAAATTTTATGTTCTTTTCGCATCCTTATTATTATTATTATTGTACTTTCTGAATTTGTCTTAGAAATAAAGTTATCAAATAATATTCTTTCCTCTTCGAGAACAGTTTTCTTAACCTTTTAACTGTCATGCCCGAGATTATCTCGGGCACAGCACTGGTGTTCGAAAATGTCACGCCCGAGTATTTCTCGGCGTAATTTTTTTTTTTTTTTTTAATGCATCGTATTGTCATACCCGAATATATATCGGGAGATGTTTATTTCGTTTATGTTATTACATTTGGTTTTTTCCAATAAAAAAATTTGACAATTTGTGTACCCAAATCATCAAAATAACTTGACAGTTAAAGGGTTAAACAATGAACTTGCTTTCGTCTAGCCTGAACATCAATATGGATATTCAGTTAATTCAGCTTTTCTTCTTAAGCCTATTTCGTTTATCTTTCATCATTTTAATTTCATCAGATCAGGAATTTGAAACACTCAGGCTTATATGTAAAAATGAGAACGTAAAATCGGCAATTGCTTGTCGATGCCCTGAACTAGGATCATCCAGTACTTTTCTTTTGATATAAACGTCGAATCACATGGTTTTTAATTTAAAAAACCACGTGATAAAGCATTTGGATCACACAACATTATGTATTAGAGTTAAAAGAATTAATAGATATTTATTATGATATTGTAGAGGTTATTTTAAGTTTCTAACAGCTAATTTTATGTTTAAACATGCTTTACTGTCTATTCTCATTTTACACCTATTATTCCCTACCAGAATGAGTTTATAGAATTGCGTTTTTTGCAGATGAGTTAGAATCATATTTAGATAAATTTCAACTATTTAAAGAAAGTTCAACTTACTTCGAGAGAGAGTGCTCAGGGGTCTTTAGTGGCGCAAACAAGACTTGTTCTTGAATCTATTAGCTCCACCGTATTGTACGTGCCTGTTGATAATTGCCGGCTAGGTTAAATTAAGGGCCAACTATGTTAGGTATTTGTGTCTAGCTTCGGCTAAGTCTATTTAGTTTAGTATTAGATAAGTTTCTTATTTTCTTATCGTGGTTTAAAAGCCACAGTGGTGGTTTTCCTGTAAGCCCGAAAAGGGGCCAACTGTTATTAATTCATTGAGTGAATAAAAGGGGATTTTTAACCCTTCTCGAGACTTTGTGGTAAATACCTGAACTCAGCGATAATGCGCTACTTAGTTCACTAGGTTCTTCGACATTCCAACATAGACAGAGTACTGAGGAACATTATAATGTAATGATATAGTTGTGCTCATCGATTAAACTGAAGCTTCGGGAAAGGTAATAAATAGATACTGCAATATGTGTTTTTCTCAGTCTTATTATAGTTCATATTTTAGTGATCCATGTAGCTTTTCGTAACATTCAACATTCCTTCTGAAAAATTCTGAACAATCATAAATTCGGTAGTGTTTGAATTTTTGAGTTATTTTCAGCTCTCAGTGAATAACTTTTATGAGTATGGAGTGATGTGTGTGTGCAAGAATCTTTAAAAATTTTTCTGTATAAAATTTGATTCGTATAAAATTTATTTTTTTATTTTTTATGATGAATATTTTTCTCCGGTTTTTCTTTTATAGAAAGGATTGCTTACGGACGAGAAGGGCAACGTAAAGAAACTGAGGCCCGGTGAAGTTTTGGAGGTGAGGCAGAAGAGAAAATCCAGTACGGACATGCGTCGCGCGAGGTGGGTCATTCTCAGATTTTAGCCTCTAATTAGAATTTATCTAAATTCTATAAGAAATTTAAATAATATACTTTTATATACAATAAAATGTACGTAAAATATGCAAGTCTACTCGGTACAAGCATTGTGCAATTCGGAAAATTAAATTTCTTAATTTATCTTTCACAAGAAATTCCCAATCCAGTACGTTCAATGCATTTGGAAATAATGTAGATAACTTTACTCACCTGTCAATAATTATATGTTAAAAGTTAGCTACTCTAAAGATACGCAGCTAAATGCGTGAAAATATAATGATACTTGCAACATTAATATTTAATTTTTTAAATTTCAAAATGAAAATTTAAGAACCTCAAAATAATTGGTTCTTGGCATGAGAAAAAATAATTATAAATGAACAGATGAAAAGCAAAAGATGTAAAGTCTTGCTGGCAATGCGTAGGTAATATGAAAAGCTAAATAAAAGTCAGAAACATTTAACCTTTGAAAAATGCAACCAGAATTAAAAAAAATAATCTATTTCTATACCGCATGAATACAGCAGCAGTATGGCTTAATAGTGCTGCTATATTCATGCGATAGAAAACTATTTTGAAGGTAAAAGTTTATTTTGGTGGATAGTTTGAGTATTTTTCCGTGGAAGAAGTTTCTGTATCGTTGATATCGTTGTTTTTGAAACTAGGTCATGAAATACGTTTATTTAAAGTATAATTTCAAATCTCTGATTTTAATCTTACTCTAAGAAAATGCGATTATCAGATCAAGGCAAACATTATATAACAAAATAAACAATTAACTATAAAATATGAAGTAAATGACATAGAGAGTACTGTCTAAGTACATACAAAAAGAGAACCCTCCGCTAAAAAGGTCAAGATATTATTTAAATTTTTATATACGTACATAGAAACATTTAAATATTTAAATAATAAGGAATGTTTTGTTTTTAGTATTTCAGAAATCGAAGAACGAATCGACAAACCGTCAACCCCTCTCCGAAAAATTCCAGAAGATGAGGAATGTGCACCGACTATTGTAGATTATCAGGAAAACGTGACGGCAATTGAAGGTGAGTTATATACGAACAGGATATTACCCTTAGTGTTTATTTAGTAAAAGGATAGTATTCTTTCTACCATATTTTTATCTTGAAAATAAAGTATGCGAACACTGTCATCACAAATGCAGTATTCGAATAGTTTGTTACGCATTTTATTCTCCACAAGTAATTAAAAAGCAAAAATTTTAGCAATCAGAAGATCCGGGTTTCATGTTCCAGGGAGACCATAGTTGATTCCTTTCGTGATTTGGCTCTGAAAACCCCCTGTATGCTAGATTTACAAATGGCACTCGATTAAAATGTGACCGATGATAATTCATCACCACCTACCTACATTTGGAGATTGGGTTTTTTTTCTCTCCTGAACTGGCTTTTGGGTGGGGGAGAATGTTAAGAATTTATACCTTTTCCACTGTTTGCTTTTCTGTTATAATTAATAGTATGTCCGTTTAGCAATCGGAAACTTCAAATCGATAGGACATCGCTGATTTCTAGTGTTTCCTACTACGAAAAGCCTAATATGTTTAAATTAATCGATTAAAGTTTCATTTTGTTTTAAAGAAATAAATATATTAAACATTTCATTACATAATAATTTTCGGTACTTCTCCGTTTTGCCGGCGCAGGGGATAAAGTCGCCGATAATGGTACAACTGATGCCAAACGGAATAGGTGACAGGTGACAGGTGACGGAGGACGGGGACGCCTGGTGTTTAACATAGGTAAACAGGCGTGTGTCCCACGCTCTCCCCTATCTAGGAATAACAACTCCCTGGGGCCCCGTGAGGCTGCGTGAGACATTAATAACGGAATATCCAAACGGAATATCCTGGCTGGTAACCTTTTACGCCTCATTTCAAAATAAGTCACAGCCATTTCTTATCAGATTGATTGGTTCTTTCAATACTGGCGGCCCACTAGCGGCCGAGCGGTAAAGATGCTGAATACTGGTAGTTCGGTCCGAGGTCCCGATTCCAGCGAACGAGCTGGCTGCATGGGCGCTTTCGTGGTTTTCCCCATGTGTAACGTGTATACGAGCCAGTTTCCCTTAGAAAGTCCTCCACGAAGGCATTCCTCCCCTTAGGCAGATAGCCCTCGTGTGCTTTGCCATAATTGAATAATCCAATCCAATCCAATCCTTTCAACACTGGAATACAATTTTAACCAGATAGTAAAATTTTATGCTTTAAGGCTATTTGCGGTAATTAAATCAATCAGAATGCAATCACACCGCTCATCCGAAGGCGAAAATATAGAAAAGGCAAAGTCAAGGGTTAAATTCATCAATTCTAATGAGAATAATACACTAGCGAAGTAAAGCACTGCGGTTTTACATAATTTCTGAGTAAGCTATTCGTACGAATTGAAATAATTCTTGCATTTAAACTTGTATTCCAAATTAAAATTTAACTTGAAATTAATACAGATAATTACTGAGAGAATTATATTTTTGTAACGTAGTTTACGTGAGATGAGATCGCTTGGGGTCATGAGATATGAAATGGCGAATGAGCTTGTTGAACCATGAAAGCATAATAAATTCTTAAATTACGCCTTTTTTGCAAATTTATTGTATTTATTTATTGGCTCTATACAGAATTTTAAACGCTATTAAAATGTTTATGCCTTCAAAATAAAAAAATCTTAGAACTAACATTTGTTAACATTTTTTATATGTATACTGTATGTTGTCTCCAATAAAGTCTGCTTGGCGAGATTTGCGCCGACGAAACGGAAAAGTACCTACTTGTCTTTCTATCCTATCAGTTATTTTAAACTTTTGAAGTTAAAGCATTACAGAACACTGTGTAAAATTAAACTCTCCGAATATTAGTTGTTTAAAGACATAAATAAGTACCTTCTAATAAATAAGTATCTCTAAATAAGTACCTTCGAAATCTTAATACTAAATATAAAAGATCATTTGCTGTAGAGAAATGCATAATGACGAGGTGATTCAAGTTAAGTCACTTCAAGTTTACTTCATGATACATAATTTTGATAAAACAAATTCTTATTCTTGGATGAAGGTTTATACCTGAAAGTCATAAATAGGACACCAAGGCTGTTTGTCTCTTAAGTTTCAAAAACCTTATGATATTTTTATCGGCTGTCCTCCGAATATGTTTGTTAAGCAATAATCACTCAAAGAATGAATAAAACTTAATAAGTGCATTCCGTAGTTCGTAGTAAAATTACAGAAGAAAATGCTAAACTTATTGTTTGGTGGAACAATTTCAGAAAAAAAAAAAAAAAAAAACTAATTGTTTACTGCTATTTTTGGAGAAAATCAAAAGTAAGCCTGGAGAAATTCAAAGCAATGAATATATAAGGGCTGGTAAAAAAGAGAGAAACAAGAATTATAATAAAAATATCTGTTCATTAAAAAAAATTTTTATATACATGCGCTTGAATTTTCTTTTGAAAAGAACGCAGTTAAATGAATTTGCGACAGTAATTTATTTAAAATATTATTACTACTCTATATTAAGGGCCCACCAGCGATCGAGTGGTAAAGTCGCTGAACACTGGTAGTTCGATCCGAAGCCCGAATCCATAAAGACCTCCACGAGGGCATGCCTTCTCTTAGGCAGATAGCCCTTGTATGCTTTGCCGTAACCAAATAGGCAGAACTACTCTATACTGTGTTGGCGTAGCGTTTTGTAAACTTAAATTTAAAATTATTTAGTGAAAGTTAATAATGTTACATAATTTAATGCCTTAGCATTATGCTATTAAATAAAATTTGGAGCTCCTGAAACTGAAATAATTTTTTATTTTGATTACCAAATTTGACTTCTGAATCATTCAAAGCATCCTCGAAACTAACCCGTACATTGCTTTTATTATTCTTTTAAAATAATAAAAGCATATTTTGCTTTTTAAAGTACAGTCTTTATTCATACTGAAAATGTCCGTAGGCTGGCACTCTTTCTATTTTTCTTATTCCTTTTTTTTACCTTCTTGCAGCATTAACCGTCCATTAAATTACCAGTTTCGAGAACTATTATCATTTCTCGGATACAGGATCTTTAACGTACCTTTCAAATTAAGGAAATGCTTCATTTCTGACCAGTTATCAAAAATAAAATCATTAAATTCAATGTAATTTTTTAATTAAATGGATTGTAATTAGTGTAGGATTTACGTATAAGGTACACAAGCTATAGCTTAGGGAATCCCCAAAAATCAATATATAATATAAATATCGTATTAAAATATAGTATAACAGACTTATAAAGGGCTTATCTCAAATAGCTTAGGGTCTTATCAAGTCTAAATCCGGCTCTGAATGTACTAATATACTTTTTTAATAAAGTTTATTTTTTAAATCTTTCAGATTACAGCATTGCATTGCTTAATAGTAACTACTTAAAAACAATATGCATCTTAATAACACTGTGTTTATGAATATTGTTTATGTAAGTACATAATGTATTAAATTTATAATTTCTTGAAGATTTATGTTTTTAATGCTATTTAGATTGTACTTTGGTAACAAAATACGTTTGATCATATAAACACTGCATGCATTAATTTTGTTGCACAAGCAGTCAGTTAATTCAATGGTTTAATAAATATTTCCTTACATTTTAATTTGATTAAAGTCAAAGATTGCGGAAAAATATTTTAACTTGCAAAGAATAATTCAAAAAACGATTTTTTTAATTTTAAACTAAAATCTTGAAAAATGATGCATAATTTGGTACTACTGTTTCTAAAAATTTTAATTTTCAGCCTTTTTAATCATCATGATTTTTATGAACTCACAAAACTGTATTATTAAAACAGGTGCTACTGCATACCTGTGCGTACAAGTAGAAGGCAACCCCGAACCCGAGTTCCGATTTTACAAGGGAGAGTCGGAGATCTTCGAAGGCGGTCGATACAAAGTTGTTACGGACGGGGAAACAAATACCGTCTATTTCTGCATCCGTAAAGCAAAATCTGCCGATGAAGGCCGATACAAGATAGTCGCCTACAATAAATTAGGAGAAGACAGCATTAGCATGACATTATTCGTCTCAGGTATGTACGGAATTCACTTGCTTAAAATTTTAGAAATCCCTTGAAAGACTTCCTAATTAATCGTGCCTTTTGAAACTGTTGAAATTATGTTTAAATTTAAATCAGAAGTTGTACTATTACTATGTATTATTTGAATAACTTTTTGAAACTGTTGAAATTATGTTTAAATTTAAATCAGAAGTTGTACTATTACTATGTATTATTTGAATAACTTAATTCTCAAATGCACGTAGTTCATACTCATATTTAGTCATGCAAATCAAATCAAATCAAAACACAAATTTTAGCTTACTGCATAGTGTAACCAATTAGCTGCATACTGTTTACGTATATAGTTTCGAAAGTTTCAGTGTCGTGGCATCACTGACGGTGTAACGGTTATTACTGTGAGTTGATGTGTAGGGTGTGAACAACATTCGTGTTTGCGAATTTTTGATTTTGTGTTTGTTGTTATTTTGATGTATTCGAAGTTTAAAATTGTTTGAACAAGTTTATAAGGTATGTATTATTACATAAAATTGTTATTACACATTTGCCTATCATACTTTTTTTGTAAAAGTTAATAATATTTTTTCAAAAAATTGGAATAAAAACATAGTTTAGATTTTTTAAAAAATTATTTTTTCTATTTTATTTAATACCAATTCTAATGTATTTTTGGCTTTAAAAATAAAAATAAAAATCCATGCATTTAAGGGTTAAAAATAACGTGAAATTAAATAAAAATAAATAATTCATTACATGGCTAAATATAAAATTTTATGTTTTGCCCTTTTTTCATCAAGTAATATTGCGGTGCATTTCTTTCAGATGAAAGTGGTATGGATTTCAGATCAATGCTAAAACGTCGGTATGTTGTTGATTTTTTTTTTAATTTAAAAGAAATAATTTCTAGATATTTTATTACTGCTTGTGTTATTTAGAGATTATACAATGCTGCATTTGTTATTTTATTATTAGACAATATGCAAAATGGGGCCGTGGAGATCAAGACCCAGACTGGGGCGGTTTAAAACCAGCGGAACAAGAAAGGAGACCATCTATTGGTGACCTCAAAGTAAGAAAATGTTAAAATTCGTTGAAAAACTCAAAACTTTCTACTGCTAAATGAGTCTTCCTAATACAGTTTAAATGATCATTTTCGGGTACAATCATAATATGTTTCTCCTCGGAAGCTATCTCAAAATTTTAACAATTAATTTATCAGAAAAAAAAAATTAAGCAAATTTTTTATGGTATGGATTTTGTTTTACAATTTTTAATAAGACAATTGATATCCTGTTTGGAGGGTTTGCACATTTAACATCATGCAGAGATTAAAATGATTATTTCCGCTACAGTGTATATAGCGCTACATTCTCACAGTTTACACTTGAGCAGCATAAGAAATTGTTGCATAATTATGTTTTATTTATTGAAATGCGAAAAAGCTTTTAATTTAATGTGCCGCTTTATTTAGTTTCACCTAGAAATGTTACCCTTACGATAACTTTAGTGTGTTATTAATTGGGATTATGCATTGATAAACATTTCTTAAAGCGACTATTATTTCTTTTAATTTTCTACAACATTTTAACTAATACTAATTCAAACAACAAAAATCAGCGTTATATTTTCAAAATTTTCACAGGACTAGTTTCGATGGTTTTACCGAACCACCTTCCTCAGCTGCAAAACCGCAAATGAACAAGATAGGAAATAATGATTAAATAAGATAAGAAAGCCTGGACAAGAATAAGCAAGTGGCGCCATCTGTTGGTGAAACCAGAACTAAAACATAATTTCTTTAAAGGCCGAAGACAAAGATGGATTGGAATTAGAATCGTTAACTAGAACAGAAAGATTTTTTTGAATGTGGAATGCCTCTAGAAAATCCAGTTCTCCAATGGAAGATGTTTTTTGAATAATTTTGTTGTTTGACTTCGGAATTAGTATTTATTCGGCGTGTTATTGTGTCTTAATTTTAACTAATCTTATGCAACTTTTAACGTTGTATATAACCATGATACAAACGCATCATAAATTGCACGTAAACACTTACTTATACAGTTTATTTTGTATTAGAATGCCTCCAGTGGGAGGATATGAAAGATGTGTTTCAGGCAAGTGAATAGGCACAGCGAAATTAACTAAGTTTCGACTGACTCAGGGGTTAAGAGTTGTATGTCCGCAGAGTTACATTGCTTCAGTTGCATTTGAGAAGCAAATCCTGGAATGATTATACATGAATCATCAAACAGTAGTTGAAGAGTATTTTCCATAATACGGAACACTCATCTGTATCACCTGTTATAAAATGTGACGTTCTTGACTGGATATAAGCTGCAGTAAGTTAGCTGCATGTAAGTCAACTGCATTGTAGTAATGGAAGAAATACCGTACTGACTGACGTCAGATAAAGCTTTGTCTCGAAGTTTTTATATCCAATTTGCAGAGCATTTCTGTCATGCTTACATCCAGCGCTGTTAACTTTGAAATTTGCACAGAGACTTTAGAAATACCCTACATTACATGATCAAATTTTCTTGTCCTCCCAATAATTACCTATTTAAATTTATTATTAAGAATGCATCTATGCATTGTAATTATCCCTTTTAAATATTTAGAATTCTAAGTATCCATTGTCTATAGAAGGAGGTTAAATTCTAAAATACAGTCAAAAGTCGTTAATTCGGACACCCATAATCCGGAATAATCTATAATCCGGACCTCAAAGCTAAAAACTTTCTGCGCATGCGCCGCGTCGGCACATGCGCACAGGCGTTTTACGCGTGCGCGTAAGACCTTGACTACTGCGCATATGCGTGTGCGCAAGTGCAGAATACGTTTTCGCCTGCGCGTTTAATGTATAACGGACGGTTGTAAGCTAAAATATCTAATTATCTATTTCAGTTAATGTTAATGATTGCGCTGTTCCTTAATCTTTGAATTGGATCCCGCTTATTATTTTTTGCAGACTGTAAGAGCAATTTTATAAAAGTAAACTTGAACTTTCCATTATGTCAAATAGAATTTCCGATGCTGGAACTTCCAAAGGATCTACAAAACGAAAGTATGTTTCGATGTCCAACAAACAAAAAGTGGAATTGCTGCAAAAAATGTGACAGAGAATGTGACAGAGATATGAAGAATGTGACAGAGAGGTTAGTGAAAACGAAAAAATTTCGATTGACAAGTTAGTCGGTATTCTCGGCACAGCAATTAACGGGACTTGAACAGCGGAACTTTGTAACTGAACAAGAAATTATGTCTTTTTATTTCTATAAAAAGACATAATTTCTTGTATATTTCTTAAAGAGGAAGTATTATCACATAAAATGAAGCAACTTAAACAACTTACATTGAGAGAAATGTTTAATAAAGTAAACAAATAAATATTAAGGTTTTTTTTTTTTTTTTTTGTAAATTTTGATACCCTTTAGATCATAATTGTTCTTTAAAAAGACATAATTCTATCTTTTTATAAAAAGACATAATTTCTTGTATATTTCTTAAAGAGGAAGTATTATCACATAAAATGAAGCAACTTAAACAACTTACATTGAGAGAAATGTTTAATAAAGTAAACAAATAAATATTAAGCTTTTTTTTTTTTTTTTTTTTTTTTTTGTGTGTGTGTAAATTTTGATACCCTTTAGATCATAATTGTTCTTTATTTCATAAATTACAGTTTCATATTTTTAATTTTATAATTTCTGCATGCCATCTTACCAGATTTAAACTGATGATCTGTAATCCGGAAAAATGGATAATCCAGAATCGCCGAAGTCCCGACGAGTCCGGATTAACGACTTTTGACTGTACTTCAAAAAAAAAATAGCTCAAAAAAATTACAGAAAAATTCGAGAAGAATTAAGTGTTTTATTTTTTTAATGTATCACATTATCTTTATTTAATGCAGTCAAAGTCTTTAATCCGGACGTCCATAATCTGGAATGATCTATAATCCATACCTCAAAGCTATAAACTTACAAATTCCGGATTAGGGGTTTTTCTGGATTATAGGTCATAAATTTAAATCTGGTAGGATGGCATGCAGAAATTATAAAATTAAAAATATGAAACCGTAATTTATGAAACAAAGAGCGATTATGATGTAAAGGATATCAATTTACAAAAAAAAAAAGCTTAATATTTATTTGTTTACTTTATTAAACATTTCTTCCAATGTAAGTTGTTTAAGTTGCTTCATTTTGTGTGCTAATATTTTCTCTTTAATTCTATTAACAGACATAATTTCTTGTTCAGTTACAAAGTTCCGCTGTTCAAGTCCTTTAATTGCTGTGCTGAGAATACCGACTAACTTGTCAATCGAAAATTTTTCGTTTTCACTACCTCTCTGTCACTTTCTTCGTGCCTTTATCCATTTTTTGCAGCAATTCCACTTTTTGTTTGATGGACATTGAAACATACTTTCGCTTTGTAGATCCTTTGGCAGCTCCAGCATTGGAAATTCTATTTGACATAATCGAAAGTTCAAGCTTTACTTTTTTAAAATTGCTCTAACAGTCTGCAAAAAATAATAAACCGGATCTAATCCAAAGATTAAGGAACAACGCAATCTGCAACATTAACTGAAATAGATAATTAGATCATTTTAGCTTAGCTTTTACCGTCCGTTATACATTGAATGCGCATGCGTAAATGTATTGTGCGTTTATGCATGTGCAGAAAGTTTGTAGCTTTGAGGTCTGCATTATGGACATCCGGATTAAAGACTTTGTACCGTATTGAAATTACTCCTTTTTCCTGTGAATATTTAATTTTCTATGATTAATAATTTGCTTCCATTTAACAGATTAAAGATGGCTTTCTGTACTTTATATACTTGTTCGGTTAACATGTCACTAATTTATGTGGTGTCCATGTCGATAAGTAATCCTTTTTTTTTTTTTTTTTTTTTTTTGTAAATTTTGATACCCTTTAGATCATAATTGTTCTTTATTTCATAAATTACGTTTTCATATTTTTAATTTTACAATTTCTGCATGCCATCTTACGAGATTTAAACTGATGATCTATAATCCGGAAAAATCGATAATCCGGAATCGCCGAAGTCCCGACGAGTCCGGATTAACGACTTTTGACTGTATATGTTTTATGTATGATATATTAAAATACTGTTTAAGAAAATCTTTAATGACGTCAAGCCTTAATATGTGCTAAACTTTTTTCCGTTTTTCTATAAGAGAATCTTCTATAAATGCATCTTACTCAAGTCAGACAATACTGCGGTGCGTTGGCAAAATTTGCGAACCTAACTTAACAATTGTCCACTTCTTAATCACAATATCTGTTTTTTTTCCAGAAAGCGGATTTCTTCGTGAAAAATTTGGAAAACCAGCACGTGAAAGAGGGTCGCGATAAGAAAGTCCGATTCGAAGCCGTGTTCTCTCGCAGTAACGTGAAAGCAAAATGGTTCAAGAACAAGCAAGAGATTTACATGGGCAAGCGCTACCACATCAGTTCTCAAGGCGACCTGCATGTTTTGGAAATCAACCTCCCAAATATGGACGACGAAGCCCGATACTCTTGCCAATGCAACGAAGCGAGCTCTTCAGCTTATTTAGAAGTGGATGGTAAGTTTGTAAAGCTCAAACAAAACAAATAAATAAAATAAAAAGACGTAAAATAAAAGAAAATATTCCAGCATACAAATTACTAATTCTTTGCCGATAATTCTAAGCAAGAAGACTTTCACATTCGTATTAATTTTTCAAGATTCCGAGGATGTCTTAACCTTATATCCGTGTATCTTGCTGTATACCGTCAAGGTACTTTATTTCCTATATCAGAATGCAAGCGCCAAAGTAAAAAGCTGTTCTAAGATTTTTAAACTAAACCTGGAAAGATCTCAACTTTCTTAACAATTAAAACATGTTAATCAAACAAATTTCTTTCCTTACTTTACCAATCTACACATTCCTGAACGGCCCCTTTCCTCCACTTGTGTTTTTGCTAATACAGTAAGACCCCGCTTAACGCGGGGGATACGTTCCATCAAAATAGAGCGTAATGCGAAACAGCGCTAAACGAGGCTATCTTTACATGTAAATTTGCTTTGGGGAAGATGGCTAGGAAATTGGTTAGGTATTAAATTTAAAAGTATGTTTTTTAATAAAAATAAACCAAACATTTATTTCTTAAAGCCCAAATTAATACCACATTATTATTTCTTTGCAAAAATAAAAAAAAATATAAATAACCAAACGAATTTTAAAAAAAAAAAAAAAAAAAATAAAATTCTCAGTCAGTCATATTAGTTAGCCTTCCGCGTTTTCAGGTTCTGCTTTTTGTGACAAAAGACTATGTTGTTTGCCTTTTTCTTGCGGTTGTTCTCTTAAAAGTTCTTCATAACGGATAGAGCATCTCTACCACCAGCCTTACTTTGAGCTCCTGTCAAAATTCGGATCATTTTCAATGAATTGATCCATTATTTCGTTATGGTAGACAAACTCCTTTTTACAAACGCCATCGAAAAGTTCTTTTTGCTCTTCTTCTGAATCACTGCTGTCAATATTTTGTTTTCTTCTTGTTCAGTTAATTCTTGAGCTCATCATTAGAAAGACTAGCCGCTGCTTCTTGAATTTTCTTCGACATCTTCCACATTTACCCCTTCAAAATATGTCTGTACAATACCGCATCAAACAAGAAATTCAAGTACACTCTTTCGGATATGATTTAAACCTATCGTGCATAATATTTCGGGGATCCCCGTATGCTGCGAGCGATTTCGTGAATCCCCGGGTTGAAAAAAAGAGCGCTAAACCGAAACAGCGCTAAACGAAACAGCGTTAAGCGTTACTGTATATTTATTGCATGAAGGTAAAAAGCAGAGAGTTTCTATAGTTTGCTTATGTGTATGCTTAAGCATTTTGATATAATTTATTTAATTATATATTTAGATAATTACATATTTAATTATGCTTTTCCTATTCATTATTAAAATTTTAGGATTTTCAGTGAGCTAAGTTATTATTAAATGGGGATTACACATATTTTACATGAATCCTAAGCAAGTAACTGATCTATCTTCCATCATGTTGTTATTATTATCGTATTCAATTTGTAAATTGATTTTTTTAAGTATTTTTTTATATTATTTAATTTTGCAACGCATTTATAATTCTGAATTTTTAAAAGTTCGCTTTCATTTTGATTTGTAATATTGTATCCTGAAAATGAAAATAAAAAAGAACTATTATACATGTCACCGGCAAAGTTTAAAATTCGACATTCTGTAGAATACCTAAGAATTGTATATAATACTTAAAACTAGCCAGCAATGTATGAAATGATTCATTTTTCACACATTTCATAGGCATTCTACAGAATGCCAAATAAGAAACCGGCAAAGTATGAAATGCATCGCCGATTCGTATATAAATACAAAGGAGCAGCTAGAAAAAGTAGTAGAAAGTATCTAAACGATGGAAAAAGGTGAAACTAATCAGATTATGTAAGGAAACCTGTTTTAAAAAACATGGATAAGATTGTAGTCGATAATAGATTAAACCAACATAATGAAGAGATGCTTATCGAAGAGATTTTCCTTTCTGGTACCTATTTTTGTGTGCTTGATGAAAGGAAAAAGTGACGCACTTGCATGCAAAAAGTGTCGTAAAAAATAATACCTTCTATGGCCATGCTAGTTAAGATGATGAAATGGATATTTTGTGCACATTTCATTTCAAGTAGATACTAGTAGTAGTAGTTTATACTGTTAATAGCGTTTCAAAACTGAAAATGCTATTGAAGTCAAAATAAATTCTAAAATCAATCTGGATTTTAATCTGGACACTTTTGGATTTTAATCTGGATCAATCTGGACACTTTTTGCATGCAAGTACTTAGCCAAAAAAATTTTTAATGAATTCGGAAAAAAAAATTCTCACTGCTTCTTTGTGAACTACTCTGCGCGAATCTCTTCCTGACGTCGGCAAGGGACAAGGTGATTCGCGCAATATATTAGGTGTTGTAAATGAGTGTGACAGGGGATGGTTTCTACCGACTTGGAACTTCTGATGGAATTTTAAAACAAATATATGCGATATCACAATTCACGAACTTGCTTAGAATCGAAGATATTTCTGATCGCGGAATTCCTCTCCGGTCATTTGCAGTTGCCCATTCCAGTGGAAGCGGCGAAAGATTTGTCAAATGTATGTGTAAAGCCAAGTGTCAAAATATGAAATGCGTTAAAAAGGCAATGAAATCTAATTCAAAATGTCATTCAGTCGCAACAAGTAGGGTAATTTTAATTTCTTTTTTTTTTTATATGAAAATTTTGTTTCTCTTAATAGGAAAGGCATAAATTTTGTTTTGTATAACTTATCAGTTTTCTTTACGAATTTTGAATACATTTTTTAATGACATTCTCATTATCTTTTCAGAATAGCATTTGTATTTTTGACGGAATGCATGCCATTTATATAATAGCCTTATCAGGATATTTTTCATTACTTTCATAAACAGCACTGGTCATTCTATAGATTGCGTCATACAATGCCTAGGAAAAGTATGTAATAATTCTCATACTTCACAATTTGCCTAAAAACGACTGGCATTATATACAATACCGGCGTTTCAAAATTTGCCGGTAACATATATAATAAACAAGGCGATACTTGCACATGTTTGTCAAATGCAGAGACCACAAAATTTGACACTGAAAAACAAAGTAAAACAAGTCAGATGCATTAGTGCACGCTTAATTAACTATTCTTGAAACTGCTGCATATTATTTCATTCGTATGCACTTCATTCATAAAATTTTATCAAAGCTTGTTTTTTAAACTAACTATATTTTAAATTTTTTAAGTGATAAACTAAATTATCTATTTTTTACACTCACATAGCCCCTGATCCAGTGTATAAGATTATCAAAAAATTACCTGGCAAGGTTGAGCAGTATACGACCAAAGAAGCTGTTCTGGAATGTACATGCAATTCTTCTAAAGCACCTGTCAAATGGTATAAAGGAGATCAGCAAATTCAGGTATGTCATAATCAAATTTTTCGAGATGAAGCTAGGTAATTTGTCATATGAACAGAACACCAATTAATCAAAGTTTTATATTAACGTGTGTGAACGTTTAAAGTGTAATGCTGTGTTTTCTAATAGAGGAATTATTCCATGAACATTGTACGCAGCACACAGCAAATCCGCACCTGATTTCTTTTATGGCTTAAATGCCGTCGAATCAGCACTTTTGTGTGTCAGGGACTTCGCTTTCAGATGTTTTAATGCTGAGTTAGTTTCAAAATGCTGCGTCAAGAAGAGAGAGAGTCGTATTATAAAGATAAAACTCTGTAGGATGATTTAAAAAGTCCAAAACGAGAGAACTTATTGTAAATTATTGATTTTTTATTATATCATTTTCCGACACTAGTAGGAAACAAGACATTCATTTTTTAAATTTATCTGCAATAATATACGTTTATATTCCTAAAACTGTAATATAATATATATATTTTGTATAAAAATGATGGACCACAAAATAAACATGAACATGACTAGTAGATAGAACTTTTCGTAGTAAATTTAATTAAATTCAGGTACAAGTCCAAAATTTGATACTTTAGCATTTAAAGTGGAAAATATTTTATACTTGTTAAGTTTTATTCACAACACTGCGGTTTCCATTTTATACGTATTCAGTTATTTGGGATAACAGCGGCCCACATTATCTTGCTTAATGGACGAGCTACTTTATTTGTGTTTATAGATATATTTATGAATATTGATTTCTAAACGAAAGATTTTATTTGCAGTCCAGCGACAGATACGTATTGGATGGTGATACTTTCGGCCATAAGACGTTGAAAATCCAGAACTGCCGATTAGAAGATTCAGGAGAATACACATGCAAAATCAATGACGAAGAGAAAACGACAACAAAACTTATTATAACAGGTATTTCATACTTTTAAAATATCGTATTTTGTTATAAGTATTTATGTAGCAGTTTCGCCTTTTGAGTCTCAGTGTTTTTTTATGGGAACTGTTTAAAAAAACTGGAAAAATTTTTTAAAAAAAGCTAAAACGCTCTATTTTCCAAGATAACTCAAAATCATAACCAAAGAGGACTGACGTAAAAATTACGAATTTCTTTTAAGAAATAAGGTAATTACGAATTTTTTTATGTTTTTAGCCTACAGAGTGTATTAGAATATTTGAAAATGTAACCTCTCCCTTTTTTTTTTTTTTTTCATTTCTTGGAAGGTTTTTGGTACGACTATGCAAAAACAAGTTTTAATTTTGTTATGGAATGTAAGTTATAATATCTAGCACTTTTATGTAGGGATTAGCTATATGAAATGATGATATTAAGACCATACAAAAATATGTAAAAGTATGGAGTTTAATATTTTCCAACCTAATCAGTATGTTTTAAAAATGTTTAAAAATTATTAAAAAATGTAGACAAAACTATATTGAGCTTTTTTTTTTAAATTAAAAAAAGAGAAAACTTTGCTTTAAAGAATTACACATATTTTTATTTATTTTATATATTTTGTTTTATTTACTATTTTTAAAATTTTTATTAATTACTGGCCACTAAGCAATAGTTATCATTAAACGATAAGGCCACCCATTGCCTAGCTTTTTTTTTAAAAAAAAAGAAGGAAAGTAATCTATGCATCTTTGTTCTTTTTTCTAGAACAACAGTTCCAGTTCATGCGCCCACTGAAGAGCATGAAGGTGATGGAGAAAGAAAAAGTGGTCTTGGAGTGTGAAGTGGATGAATACGATGCAATAGTTAAATGGTTTAAAGGTGATAAGGAGTTGGTCAAAACTAAAGACAAAAAGTAAGTTTATATCGGAATATCTCAGTTTAGATTAAATTCATACGTCAGGATAATAAGAAACATTCAACATATTAAAGGCAGGTTTTTGCATCACAGTCCATGGTAGCGTTTAACGTGCCATGCTACACTAGTGTTGTGTGTGTACTGAGATATGTTGATCACATCATATTTTACGAGGATGAACCATTACCACATTCCCCAATGTTTGTGCATTATATGTGAAATACTTTTTCCAAAACAGTGGTCTGAATAAAATGGATCCATTCTTTGGGCGTAATTAAATTTGAAATGCGTCAGACATTTAGAATTAAGTTTAGTTTCTGAATTCTCAGACCATTTGGTATGGACCAGTTTCTGGATCGCCAAACATTTTGGATGCACACTTTATGAAAGAAAGAATCATTGAAGGCATCAATATTGAACGTTCTTGTTCAACCGTGGTGGAAATTGAATATCATTTCCGTGTAAATCCTATTGACACTAGCCACTAATTGCAATAAAAAGATTCAGAGAATGATAGCTAGCTTTTATGCCTAAATAATAGAACATAAATATCTCTATTATTTTTCTGACTCCTTGAATCTTGAATTACGAAACATTTGGCGTACTATCAGGTGATATGTTGACTGCTATACTAATATTATGCTGTAACTATTTAGCCGGGAGAAAATTCCCGAAAATGTAACATCCTTTTCTGTTGTATCATTTAATATTATTTTTCACACTGAAAATTTAGTATTACTCTTTCCAAGTCTGTGTTATAAAACATTTTTAACTTGCATGTAAAATATTAATATTAATCATAAGATTATTGGGATAAAAGTAAGAGCCAAATATGCAAGCAAACTTAAATCATTTTATTAGCTTAGAACCGCATTAAAGTGATCAAGAAAGAAATAACAATTAAAGTGAGAAATTACAAGTAAAGAAGAAATTATGTTAAATAAACGAAATCCAATTATTACTGATTAAATTATTCATAATTTTACCTACTATTACGATCATTTACTTTCGTTTGAACTACTTAACTTAGCTAATATATTTTCGAGTTTACTGGATTCACATCTTCATAATTCTTTGCTTATAGGTTACTGTTATGCCTAATATGGAAGCTTGTACAGATTTGTTTTATTTTATAATATCAAAGTAAATCCATATCTCTCAGAACTATTTTCCGAAGCAAATAACCGATGTGTATATTTAACTTAAAAAGTAAAAACAACTATTTTTGCAAAATGTTTAAGATATTTTTAGTTATTTGCATATATGAATTCTGCTTATGACAAAGTTGAGTTTCCTCGATATTTGAGGAAATGATGTATAATTCTGACAAAAAGTCTGAAATCGGATATTCGATAAAGTCCAAAAAAGCAGTGCAGCAAGATATAATACGCCTCTTTTTATTAAGAATTTTAAGTAACCTAAGATATTTTGATTCAACATTATCTGTGTAAGTACATGATAGTCTTACATCGTGTTATAAATATTTTTCAATCGATATTTCTCAGGTTTGACATCACTCAAGAAGGTCGAAAGCGAAGGCTCATTATCAAGAGCGCCAAATTAGCAGATGAAGGAGAATACACATGCAAAACGAATGCCGATACGACAACAGGCGAACTGATTGTTGAACGTAAGTAAAATAAATAAAGTAGTTTTTCTTACGGGAGCTACAAGTGTTTTCATTTAATCTATACAACAAGTTTAGAAGAGTTAACCGTATTTTATAATTAAATAAGACATGTGCTAAAATTTATGAAATTTACTTGGAGCACTAGTTTAAATGATGAGAGTCTGTTTAGAAATTCACAAACTCTGCAATGTTGGCCGGATAATTCACAATAAAGAATCTATTATATTTTTTCTGTTTTCTCTAAAATACAAATGCACGCCCGTACCTTTAACTGGTATTATAAAAGACCTTCCCGAAGTAAATTTACGATGTTTATTACCTCTAAAGCAAAATTTATTTTAGCGTAACACATTTCAAACTGTGCTTCATCATGGACATCTCATTTTCTACTTATTAGCAATGAACTCAGGTATTTAGGAGAAATGGGGAAACTACCTTTAAAATTCTTTAAAGAATTTCATTAAATTTGATATACGTTATATGTTCTGTGATTTACGTCTAACATTCTGTTAAATAAATATATCAAATTTGGAATACTTAATGGGAACTGGATAATTTAATGCTACGGCTTTTGTTGTTGAAAGCAAAATTCGTTTTCGAATTTTGCTTTCAACAACAAAAGTCAATCTTTAGTTTGAGAGCCCATCAGCGGCCGAGCGGTAAAGTCGCTGAACACTGGTAGTTCGGTTCGAGTTTCGAATCCCGCGAACGGGCTGGCTGCATGGGCGTTTTCGTAGTCTTCCACATGTGTAACGTGTATACGAGCCAGTTTCCCTTAGAAAGTCCTCCACGAAGGCATCCCCTCTCCTTAGGCAGATAGCCCTAGCGTGCTTTGCCATAATCTCAATAAACCAAACCAAACCAAACCAATCTTTAGTTTATCAAAGTCGAAAAAGTCAACAAAAGTTAATCTTTAGTTTTTAGTAAAAACAAACTTTAGTTAAGCAAAATGTGAGGCAAACTAAAGATCCATTAAATTAATTCGTTTAGTTTTGCTACTATCCTAATTAAATATGATACTTTTAGTGTAGTGTCGAATGCTTTTCATTAATGGATTCCATATTTAGATATCAGTCAGCCACCAAAATATTATAACATAATTTTCTCGTGCCACAATTTAAGTAAAGTTTATACAACTTATAGTACATTTAAGACAACTTAACGGTAATAAGCGTGTAGACTACTGAACTTTTAATTTTGTAATTTTCATTAAATAGAAAACTTTTATTTCAGTTTAAAGATTTTTAAGAAAAGTATTTCTTAACTTTCAAAATGTTATTTTTAATTTTTATATTTAAAATAACGCATTTAGAACTGATAAATTTTATTGTGAACTTATTATTGCTTAGTCCAAAATACTAGTTTAACAGTTCTACCAATTTAAATAATTTTATTTTTTTGACAGAAGATTTTAAGTGCTTTATAGTATTTCATAATTTTAATGTTTTATAAAAAGCAGGTTGAAATATTTTATGAGAGCAAATCTAAAAGAATGTTTTGATATATCATATTAGCAACAAACGCAAAATTCGACAAGCTTTTATCGATTGCCTTCTGAGTTATAAAAACCTTCATAATTTTTAAAAAATAAATTATAAAATTTTGATAAAACTATTAAAATTTTCAATTTAGTGTAGACAGTTTTTTAGAAAAACGTATGTTCTAATTATACCATTGATATTACATTTACTAAGTAGATTTATTGACGTATCAACTATATTTTTTAAATGTTAGAACTGGCTTATTTAAGAATGTTTTCTCCAAAAGTTTTATATTTACCTCCTTAAGTAATAATAAGACAAAGGAATGTAATGTAATATATCTTGACAAATTTTCACATATATTGATTCTACTGCTCTGTAGGAAAGTCTGTTAATTTTAATAGTTCCGTCTTTTCTCCTTTCTTAGCTTCTAATCGTTTCGTGAAGAAGCTAAAAGACACATCTGCAGTGGAACGAGATACAGTCGTCCTGGAGGTTGAATTGATGGACAAAAAAGCTCCTGCTGAATGGTTTAAAGATGGCCAACCCATTAAACCATCCAATAAGTACGTTGCGTTATTTTATTTGAATACACAATATGCTTTTCTAACTAAATGTTATGCTTTTCTTTTTAATTTTTGAAAACATTAGTTAAAGATATGGATATAGGATTCCCGTTGAAAGATTCTCTCACCCCTCACTTCACGAAGAAAAAAATCGTGACTTTGTAAAGCATTTTCTGCCTCCTTACCCATGTCTTCGTGGTGTAATTTTAAGACGCCCACCTAGAAAATCGGGAGGTCCCTAGTTAGAATCCTGGAGAGGATAATGCTGATATTTCGCCTTTCCTACTCTGAAATAAATGAACCCCAGTGATGGTGTTACTTATGTTCCCTCCTCTGATAAGTCTAATGACGTTGCACTGTCTTGTAGAACAATTAAGTATTTATTGACGGAGGAAACATGAAAAAGAGTAGTGTCCTCTGCGATATTGGAACTACGGATGTCCGGATTACCAGCGGACGCGATTCCATTTACATCGCAAAGGAGAAGACATCTTACACCTTGGTAACATAGAATGCTGTTGAAGGTCTACGCTGTAAAATAATCAATAAAACAAATGAAAAGAGACCCTCTTCTAACCGTTTCCCATAGCATTTGGAAAAGAGGCACACTAGTTTTAAAATTAATCAAAAGCCAAATTTTACATTTTGCAGAGGAAACGTTAAACGTTATGCATTTCGAGAGATTATAAGTACTGGTTTCTTTTCTTGAAGAAGTAAAAACATTCTACATCATATTTCCAGAAATAGACCCTTTTGATAAATGCAGTAAAAGTAATTAATAAGAGAAAATAATATAAAAAATGAATAAAAAAATCCTAAAAGCTTTCATATTTTATACAACGCTCAAAGGGCCTTTTTAACGGTTGTGTGTTACCTTTATTTATTAAATATTATGTTCTTCGCTTTTAAACCATAAAATTCATTTCAACAGCAGTAACACAAAATATTTAAAAGAGCATATCTTTAGAATTTTCGATACACAGTGTCGTTTGCTGGAGATAACAATGTTTTTTTCTCCCGTACATTATTGCCATTGCTCGCTTCGGTATTGTTGAGTTTCTTAATTAAAAACTCATAAATGCTTCACAAAATATGAAAGAGAGAATAAAACAAATTCCAAATTCGGGCTTCCAGATGCCCATATTCGGGTGGAGACGTTATTACTATTCAAAATTTGATGGCTCTAGGTACCGTTGCATTTTCACAATACGAGAAACATACATACATTTATGCAGATTCTTCATTATTTAATTTCTTTAAATACACTGACTACCAATAAGTATTTGGAGACATAGAAGTTCCTTCACCGATTTTGCACGGGTAGTGCACCCCTGAATTCGGCGATGCAACTCGTCCCAGAGGTTCTCCATAGGGTTCAGGTCTGGACTCTGGGCAGGCCAGTCCATTCGATGAACTCGATTGGCACCATACCAAGCCTTGGTTAATGTCGAAACATGACAACTGGCATTGTCGTCCTGAAAGTAACAGGGGTCCAACCCGTAAAATTGCCACAACGTAGGAAGCACATTGTCATCCAAAATAGTGCAGTAGGCATCGGAGTTGAGCTTACCATGAATGTGGACCAAGGGTCCCAGCCTATACCAGGAGAAACACCCCCAGACCATAATTCCACCTCCGCCGAACTTGACTGTTGGCACAATGCATTCTGGCAGGAGACGTTCTGCAGGTAGACGCCAGACTCAGACCCTGCCATCCGAACGGTAAGGGGTGAACCTTGATTCGTCACTCCAAAAAACCCGTTTCCACTAATCTACGGTCCAATTTCGATGTGCTTTGCACCACATTAACCGAGCAGCGCGGTTGGACTTTATAATCAAAGGCTTATGGGCAGCAGCACGAATATGAAAACCAAGCAGATGGGCTTCCTTACGGATGGTATTCATTGAAGCAATACTCCTGGATGCCTGTTGAACCTCCTCGCGGATGAGGGCCATCGGTTGGGTGCGGTTCTTCCGAATTTCTCTGGACAGCACTCGTCGGTCTCTATCTCCCACTTTCGTTGATCTGCCGACTCGGGGCACATTCCGACAATCACCGCTCACCTTCCATTTCTTAATCACATAGGCCACTGTCGATTTTGGGTACTTCAGATCGCTAGATATGTCCCTTAAGAGTCAGCCACATTTGTGATACCCGATAATTATACCTTTCTCGAAATCAGAGAGCTCGAACTGCGAGGCATCTTGCATGCGACTAAAGCCGATGCTGTTTCCTACACTATATATACCGGCGGAGTCCGTGACATTTCTTAGGACCGCAGATATCGTCATTTGCATAAGTGTCCAAATACTTATTGGTAGTCAGTGTATAATATAAGGCTCTAATATTTGGTGGCAACAATTTAAAAAGTGATTCACCGTGTATAGTGCGCCAACGCAAGACATACGGCCATCTACTGAAATACAAACAAACACATTAAAATTATATTATAGATCCCGTAAGTTATCTTAAATTTAGTTACGCTCTCATTATCTTAAACTACCCCTTTTTAGAGAGTCACATTTCCTTGAAGGCTTCCACATTTATTAAAATCCATCAACTTAATGATATCATTTACAATTTTGTTTATCTTATAAATTTCATCCATTCTTTTTTTATTCCTTCAAATATGTTGAGCTACAAGTTATGTTTCTTGTCTTTTTCTTAACTTGTGTTATTTCTTTTATGTATAAGATACATTTCTGTTAAAATGATGCAAAATAGTTTTACTCCTTGAAAAGAGGATTTGGTGCTAACATCTCTCTGCGTTATTATAAAGCCATTTTCAGTTTAAGTGTGAGTTTTGAGTAATTTTGAACACCAATCTTTCAGGTTATACTAGTATTTTGCTTAAATATAAATTGAAAAGGAATAATTTTAAAACAGTACGCACAGTAAAATTACATTGGGAATCGTGTAATCTTTTGTTTAGCTTAGTTCCCAGACATTCTTTTTTATTAAAAGAATCATGTTTCCCTTGACACAATATTGTGCTGTAGATAGTAGATTTTTAACTTTGACTGTTTGGAAATCTGAAATTTTCACCACAGTATTGTGTCTATTTAATGATGAAGAACAATAAGTAAATAAATGGTTTTAATTCCCTTCTATTTGTGGCAATTAAGCCATTTACAAAAGAACTGCAATATTTGGATTAATATTCCACTTTTGTTGTTAACAGAACATTTTGATGTGATTCCACACACCATTTTTCAAAGACAAATTATTGGAAAAAAATAATCTGAATATAAACTGAAGTTTAAATGACAAATGTAAATAAATAATAAATATAAATAAATCTTCATCATGACATGAACTATGATTTTTGTTATTTTCAGCATCAGCATTAAGTCTTTAGGCGATGGCAGGCATCAACTGATAATCACCAACTGTCAGATCGATGACGCGGGAGAATACGAATGCAGAAGCAAGGAACTTTCCTCTTCTGGAAGACTTGCTGTAGGAGAAGGTAAGTACTTCTTACGGATTTTATAAAAACAGCCATTGTTCCCTCAATCTTCAATGCGAGAAATTGCTGTATTAATTATTGTATTTTATGTAAGCCTGAATTAAAATGAAGGTAACTGATTGAAACATACCAGGCAATAGAACAAGTTGTTTTCCCCCCTAATACTGAGAACTAGTGTATAATACTCAGGATAACCCAATGCAGAAGCCCATGATTAATACAGCATTTGTGTTGTAATCAGCATTGTGTATAGAACGTGAGGTACGCTGTGCAAAAAAGGGGGGTGAAAGTTCTACATCTCCCGTTTTACTGGGCCGATTGACAAAATTTACCGTAATTTCCGGAAGAAAGGCCCCATCAGCGTAAACGCCGCACTCGAGAAAAATGGCGGGAAAAAAATTAAAATTACACAGAAACGCCGCATCAGCGTAAACGCCCGCAATAGATTAAATTGCGCGTGACATCGTCGTGGGCCGTATAGATGCAAAAACTCAACCTAAGTCCTGATATATGACATACCAGTTAAGAAAAATGCATGAAATGAAACCATAACTCAAAAATAAATTAAAGGTAAGAAATGTATAGCTTCTGTGCCGTTTAGAGACATTTTCAAAAATTTTCCGTTCCCTTCGTACTTAAAAACTATCCAACAAGTACTTGTACCCAAACTGATGGGATCTGTATTTGGCAGAATGCCAAGAAAAATTCATTCATGCTGAAGAGGAAATACGTCAGAGTTCGTTATTGCGAGGCAGGTCCGCCTTTGAAAAAAATTACAGAAAAGGCAGGGGTGGGGAGAGGACGGGTCCTGGAAGATTCATCGAATGGCAGAGGAGAGAGACTATTCAAACTGATGAAAATGTTGATTTGAAAGGGGGAAGAATGTTATTGTTCTGAGATCTCGTTTAGGGTGAATAAAGCATGTAGGTCCGTTCAAGGGAAAGAATGTAAACAAAAATAACGTTCGCAAAAAGCAATTGAGTGGTCTTTTGCGTGGAAACAGCACCAGTCTATGCACAATGACAAGGCCATCCAAACTATGTACAATGACCATCATAGGAAATATTTTATTGTTAGAGTGCACCTAAACGCCGCATGGGTAGAAACGCCGCACCCGCTGAAAATTTAAGTTTTAAACACGTAAACGCCGCGGCGTTTCTTCCGGAAATTACGGTAACTTTCGCTTTTCGTCTCTTGAAAGCGCGATTTAGGATATGTATCAGATTTATATATAGCATTTTTCTAATATAGGTATTTCGATACATAATCGGACTTTTTCTGCAATAACACACCAATTTTTTTCCATATTTCCATTCGACGACTTAAATTACGCCATACTAACAAGTTTTGTAAAAATCGCACGAGTAGTTTTTAAAAAAATTAGGTCTCAAAATTTTAACTCCTCAGTGTTAATTGAGTTTGGTATATATTGATTAATCTCTCTTTTTTTATTAAGCTTATTTGATTCTTCCTTTCACATTTCGAAATTCAGGTTCATTCCAAATAAAATTCACACATTTTTTATAATTTATTTTTAAAATTTGTATTTTTGAATAACTTTTATAAATTTTCAAAAACAAATTTGAATTATAATCTATGAAATTTTTACCATCATCTTAAAGTAGACGTATTTCTTATCACATCTGCAAAAAATTAAATTTTTATTCAAAATTTCCGAAGATGTACGTGAATTTACATATTTGCGCGTTTTGAAATTTGGCGTATTTGTTGAAAGCGATAAAACATCAAATGTGGTTTAGACACTTTGCTAAAATTATTTGAAAGTAGGAACGATATGACTTTTCCCCCGCTGGTTTTACAACGAAAAAAAAGGAAAGGAAAATAGGTTGCTACAAATTAAGAACTTCGCCAACTGAATTATTCTTGGCGCAAACCGAGAAAAAATACTCTAAGATAAATTTTTGAATTTCTCTGTAAATTTCGCACCAAATTTTACAAAATTTAATTTTTACGCATAATTTGAGTCATAGAGTCGAAATATGGAAACAATTGATATGTTATTTCAGAAAAATTCCGATTTTGTGTCAAAATACTTACGTTAGAACAATGCTATATATAAAGCTAATATATATCCTAAGTCGCGCTTTCGAGACATGAAAAATGCAATTTGAATTTTGTAAATCGGCCCAGTAGAACGAGAGATGTAGAACTGCCCCATTTTTTGGGGGGGAGCAGTGTACATATACTGATAGCTTTGTTACTACCAAATGTGTCTAAAAAATGTGTCTAAAATTTATTTTGGCGTACAAAAGACTTGGTGTGTGTTTATTTAGTTTCGTTCTTTCGGTTGAAAAATACAGTGACGGCTAGTCTTGAGAAAAGCTCTGTCGATCTTTTAAACATACACTGACTACCAATAAGTATTTGGACACCTATGCAAATGGCGATATCTGCGGTCCTAAGGTATGTCACGGACTCCGCCGGTATATATCGTGTAGGAAACAGCATCGGCTTTAGTTGCATGCAAGATGCCTCACAGTTCGGAGCTCTCTGATTTCGAGAAAGGTATAATTATCGGGTATCATAAATGTGGCCGATCCTTAAGGGACATATCTAGCCATCTGAAGTACCCAAAATCGACAGTGGCCTATGTGATTAAGAAATGGAAGGTGAGCGGTGATTGTCGGAATGTGCCCCGTGTCGGCAGACCAACGAAACTGGGAGATAGAGACCGACGAGTGCTGTCCAGAGAAATTGGGAAGAACCACCCCCAACCGATGGCCCTCATCCGCGAGGAGTTTCAACAGGCATCCGGGAGTATTGTTTAAATGAATACCATCCGTAAAGAAGCACATCTGCTTGGTTTTCATAGTCGTGCCTTTGATCACAAAGTCCAGCCGCGCTGCTCGGTTAATGTGGTGCAAAGCACATCGAAATTGGACCGTAGATCAGTGGAAACGGGTTCTTTGGAGTGACGAATAAAGGTTCACCCTTTACCGTTCGGATGGCAGGGTCTAGGTCTGGAGTCTACCTGGAGAACGTCTCCTGCCAGAATGCATTGTGCCAACAGTCAAGTTCGGCGGAGGTGGAATTATGGTCTGGGGGTGGTTCTCCTGGTACGGGCTGGGACCCTTGGTCCCCATTCATGGTAACCTCAACTCTGATGCCTACTGCACTATTTTGGATGACAATGTGCTTCCTACGTTGTGGCAATTTTACGGGTTGGACCCCTGTTACTTTTAGGACGACAATGCCAGTTGTCATGTTTCGACGTTAACCAAGGCTTGGTATGGTGCCAATGGAGTTCATCGAATGGACTGGCCTGTCCAGAGTCCAGACCTGAACCCTATGGAGAACCTCTGGGACGAGTTGCATCGCCGAATTCAGGGGTGCACTACCCGTGCAAAATCGGTGAAGGAACTACTATGTCTTCTCCAAGGCGAGTGGAAGAAAATACCACTAGCTGCAATACAAAGACTTGTGGAAAGTAAGCCCCGGAGGGTCCACGCTGTAATTACCTCTCGTGGAGGCTTTACCAACTATTGATTTTGAATAAAGTTAGTTTTTCTTTTCTATCACAGGTGTCCAAATACTTATTGGTAGTCAGTTTAGCTGATATATTTCTATCGTAGAATATCTATAATTTAGTGTTTATCACTAAACATCTAACTTAATGCCGACTGTCGTTTGTTGAAAATACAGTGAACAGATATTGAAGGCAAATTTTGGCATTTATTCTGTATACTAAAGCAAATTTTATCCTTTGCTAAAGGACACTGGACAAATGAACGAGGATAAAAGAGATTCTATAACTTAAAATTTATTAGTCCTCTTTACAAGAAATTGAATTTTTTATAGGCTATTCTATATGTGTTTTTACATCAATGGTTAACTTTCATGAAATAATATAAGAGTCAAAAATTTACCATTCCAAAGAAAGATAGCTCCAATACACTTTGCAAAAGCCACTAATCTAACACGATATTTTTCTAAATTAGGTTCAATAAAATATCAGCACTCATCTTTAAGAACTTTTCTTTGCTTAATACATTTTATCTGCGAATATATGTACATTATTTTTATCTTTTTTAGGTGAAAAGCCTCCTAAAATAAGCCGAGATAAAACAGAATTCAGTGGAGATGTAAACAAACCCCTCACTGCTGAAATTCCGTTCACAAGTAAGTCTATGAATTTTGAGTGTATAAAAAATAGTAAATTTTCTCTTGCATTATAATATTAAGATGCTTAGAAGATTTGTAGCTTAGAAATGGTTCGTAGTGTATTTTTTTAAATGAATGTTTTTCTATTTGCAGTTCCTGGCACTAAGGTTTCGGATATCGCCTCGAAGCTGCTTCGTAATGGAAAGCCTGTTATGGCAAAGGACATTGAAATTACCGTTAGGAACGATAAAGTAGTGATCATATTTAGAAAGCCTCCAAGGGAGGCGAGCGGGGATTACGAACTATGCTTGTCGAATGCCACTGGCGAAGACAAAATGAAAATCAACTTCAACTTTTTAGGTAATCCTTACAAAGAGAATTAATTATTTCCCTTTCTTCATTGTAGTAATAGCGGAAAAAAATGAAATATACGGAATCGTATTTTTACGATGGATAGATTTTGAAATAAACCATGAGCGGAAGGAAAAACACGGTGCATACAACAAAGAGACAAATAAACGAAAAAGAAAATTGGTTCCAACGTTAATACACTAACTTACAATCATTGCAATGAAAGTTGCGATTCCGGAAATGAAATATTTTTATTTTTCACGCTCCAGGCGCGTTGCCATTCAGTAAAGTCTAAGATATTTTATTTTCAGATTAATTCTGGAAGTTAAACTGCGTAACAAACTAGGCAAAGATAAGCAATAAGCAATAAATCTGTTCCTCAAAAAAAAATTTTTTTTTACTTTTTCATATAATTGATTTAAATAAAATTTCATTAAAATCAAGTAATATCAAATTCGAATTAATAAATTTTTTATGAAATTATACTAGCTGGATTCATTAAAATCATTATATATATTTTTTATTTCTTACGATAACTATTTTAGGCGGCTGGCTGTGCAACCGATTAGTTTTTAAAGAAATAATATAGCGACAGTAAAAAAAATATGGCAACAACTAATATTTTATCGGGAAATCTAAAATTACGCTGTTTCCAAATATTTTGTGCCTCTGTTATTGAATTTTATGCGACGTAAGGACGAAGAACATCATATTTAATAAACAAAATTAAACGCGCAAAAAGTTAATAAGAAAAAGACAAAAAAAGTATTTTGTATGTCATATTAGTAAGAAAACTGAACATTGATATGACGAACTAAGAAAAGAGTGTAAACATTTTTAAAAATGCATCCCACATTAAACAATGGAACAATGGGATTTTAAAAACATGCTCTTATGCTGCTTTTAAAAATTTGGTAATTTTGCTTTTGAAATGTATGTGGCGTAAATGCAAAGAAAATATCCATTTTGACCGCTATCGAATGCAATTTAACGATGTTTTTGCGTGATATCTGTACGTAAGAACAGAATAAAAGACTCGTTTCCTCCAAAAAAATTATAAAACTGCTTTAAAATAAATTCTGAAGAGAAATTTTCGTGGCGTCTGTACGAGCGTATGTACGTATCTCGCATAACTCAAAAACGAGTAGCCTCAGAACCTTGAAATTTTGTATATAGGACTGTTATAACATGTAGGTGTGCACCTCGTATTTTGGTTGCAATCGGCCGCACCAAACGTATATAAATTATATTTATAAATATATCCACTCTGTTACCCGGTTCAGTGATCTCAGTTTCTTTACTTTTCTTTATATGTTTGTAAATTGTACATTTTTTGCTTTAAAAATGATTGAATTTTTGTTTTCCGGTTAAGGTTATCTCGGTTATCTTCGGTTAAGGTTTTTATGCCTTTAGTAAATCTGTATGCAATATTTTTAGAATTATCAACAATTTTAAAGTTGTTTAAGTGCCGCTAAGCCTAATTTTATTTTTATGGCGGCCATTGATTGTTTACATTTGAAACAGCAGCAGACTAGTGGATTTGTTGCCAATCTAGAGAAACTTAGCTTCGCAACAACAAAGATAACGCCTTCATTTATTATTGCCAATTAAATCATCACGCTTAATCCTTTCTGGAAGTTTTCCAGAAAATAAGTGTTTAAGATTTACTTCAAAATTTTTAATATAGATATTTTGAGTTTTTATGTATTTTTGCCGTGTCGCGAAGTGAGAACTGAATTAATTGAATGAGAAATACTCAATCGTCTGTGAAAAACTGTTTCTTTTGTTTTGTTTGCTTAATTTCTTTATACATCATTCTAGCTTTATTATAGTATTTGAATAGAACATGTGGCAACGATTAGATAATTCTATTCTTTAAATGATATAAATTTTGTGCATTCTGAGTTATAATATGAACGAAATATAATACTGTTAAGTGAATCTAGCGCCAGAGTGTCGCTATGGTAAACAAATACTAGAGTGAATTTTAAAGAATGCATTTATTCTATTGTGGTTTATGCGCTGTCGGCGAAGTAGATTTAATTCAATCCAATAAGTTTAAATGAAATGCAAGAAAAAAATGCGTATAATTTAATATTCCGTTCAAGGAAGTCATATGGTGTACACATCAGATTTTTTTCTTTAAATGACGTTTACATAAAAGTCTGATATGTAAGGTTGTAACTTATACGTCACATCAACGTGGCAATATACCTTTGGCACTTTGTTTGAAAACAAGAATTTAAAAAAGATTACCATGGATTTAATTTTGAAAAAAAAAATATGTAGCACTTCTGTCGAATATACTCATGTATTAATTTCACAAAATATAGTACATCTATATTTTAAAGTAATGTAAAGCATTGAAAAATAATATTCAAAACGCATGAAAGTAAAAATAACAAGAAATGCAGGTCCGCAGCTTTAACATACAGTCATTGATATAACACATACAATCATACAGTTTTCCCATGCTTAGGTTTAGATTTTGCATTAAAATAACTTGACTTGATTTAAAAATTAATTATGGAAAAAAATAGCTAAAACTTTTACTGATAAAATGAACTCGTAGCTCTGTGAGTGGCGGACAGACAAAGGCAGATTCTGCAACCTGCAAGTTTACAAATGCACAGTAACTTTTGCTGTTAAACAGTACCTATGATACACAATAAAAAACTTTACAAACTAAAGGCCCTTTGAGTTGTAGGTTAATAAATGAATTCTAAATTTATTAATGAACATAATCTATTATTACAAAAACGAATGCTATTAAATTAATTCTGCAATCCACTGTTAGATAACTGTAGAAGGAACTGCTAATTCATAAGCCATTAAAAGCTATTTACAGAGTTGAAGAAAGTTTCTTTCGAAGGGAGGAATTATTTCATCTCGGTGACAATCCTTTTAACTTTTAATAAAAAATTCACTTCCGATTTAATCGGGAAGCATAATTCACGCATATCACTTCTAATTTCCATGATGACATTTAAAATGAACTTCAAGCCGGATTTAAACCTTAACATTAAGATCGTGAATATTTGTTTAGTGGAAACATTAAAAGGTACTATAAATGCAAGCTACCTCTTTTCTTTTATATTAAATTAATCTGCCTTTGCTGAAGCAAGTAGGTGTCTCTCAGAAGTTAAAATATTATACAGCTATTTAATTTAACTGGAATTAGAACTGATTAGTCTGTGCTTTCCTTTCAATATCTAGCTTTAAAATCTCGTATTCTTAGTTATTTCTGATAAATAAAAACTTTAAAAAAAATATATACTGCCCGTTTTAAATTATAAATGACAAAAATCTTCCTTTACAGATGTTCCACAACCGCCTCAAGGACCTTTAGATGTGACCGACATATTCCGTGATCGCTGCAAGCTTTCCTGGAAACCCCCGCTGGACACAGGAGGTATGCCCCTAAGCCACTACATGATTGAGATGCAGGACATGGGCGCACGAGGAGGATGGATTGAAATTGGCACGACGGAAAATACGAACTTCGATGTCACTGGACTTGTCAATAAGAAGGAGTACAAATTCCGTGTGAGAGCAGTCAACAAAAAAGGAGCCTCAGATCCTCTCGTATCCGCCAAACCTATCATTGCAAAAGATCCTTATGGTAAGATTTTGTAAGAAAAGTACAATGAAGAAAACATACATG